AGTATCACACAATTTGATAAATCTGAATGACTCAAAAATACATATTTTTTTAACTGAAATTAAAAAATGAATTAGTGAATTAGTATCAGTTGTTTTCACTAGATTACAACTTTTTCCATCATTTCATACTGTGGCAGAGAACTGCCACTGCTGCAAATGCGTTGTCAGGTTCACCTGTATATCCAACATGGCCGACCGGCTGATTGTTAACCTGTTGGAGAACAGAGTGCTTTTCGATAAAAAACACAAACATTACAAAGATAACAACCTGAAGGACAACTTGAGGAGAGTCACAACGTTGGATCTCTCATATGACGATGGTTTGTGTGCTTTAACAGTTTGCTAAACGTCTTTGTTTTAACTTTCATCTGTGATAAGTAACTTTAGCTCGTAAGCTAACCTGTTCAGATACAACATACCATATGTATTTTCACAGTCTCAATTTCAATCGCGTTGCTGTCACAGCACCATTAGGTCTCAGTTGTTACCTTACGTTTATGGATTATAGTTAAATGTTCTTATCTGGTACTGGCCCCGACTCAGTACATGCTATCATGACAGACAGACATCTCAACACTAGTGTCCAATCAGAACTGAAAAACAGTCAGTCTGCTGTTGTGTCAGTCTTCTCGCTTCCACCAAATTCACCTCCGAACATCTTGTAATTCTGCATCATTCCTGGTGTGTAAGGACCTTAACTCTCAATTAAATCTCTGAAACTGTTAAAAAGGGGATGCGCGTCTACCGAGGTCTTCCTAGAGTCTAAAATATAAATGTAAATGTTCTTTTTCCAGTATTGTTAGCAGAGCATGAAGGCAGCAGTCATCTGCATGTTCTGTCATGCTCTGACATTGGCAGAGATGATTGGACATATGGCACAGCACAAGGACATCCAAGTCATTCAGGCTTCTTTTTACGGTTTGGTTGTTCATCATGTTTTTGACAATGCCTCAGCACACAATGCCAGATAAAACCATCTGTGTGAATGTATCCAGGTAAGAAAATCCTGTGCATCGCAGAATATTAACTAATGCTGTTTAATTATTCACTCTGTGAAGACGCAATGAACATCAATCAACTTTAAATACATATAAAATAACCTACGCGTGTTAGTTTCTATCTGCATTCAACCTGCATGATGTTTTCAGGCCTCATCAATTAACCGGAGTCATACAGACTACATTCATTAAAAGCACACTCTATAAATACACATGCTTTCAAAAGGTCATGCTCACGGACCTTATAATGATGTGTGAAGCTTGCATCCTCACACACCAAACTTGAAACGCCACATATTTGACATTCATCATGTTCTATGACATGATGAATGTGTTAAATTAACTGAACCCCAGCAGACCCCCCGTGCATAAAGCCGTAAGACGAATCACGCTACAACATACTAGGTTTAATTCAAACATCACAGTCTGCGCTCCCACTCTGTTTTTGATTTTCACCTTCAGTGGGAACCAAACACTGCAGAGAAAATGGCGATAGGGACAAAAACATCCAGAAGCAGTAGCATTTGACTGTAAAGCAGCAGAAAAAAAAAAAACATTTTTGAACAAAGAAACACACATATGATGAAATTCCTCAAGGCAGACTCCCAAGAATATGATTTATGTTCAGCGAGCGCTCTTCATTCCTCATCACTGTGTCAAATTGCCATATTTTGTGGGGGTATTTCACGACACATGCACACACACAGTATATAAGTCTGATTTGTTACACACTCCCTCCTCAAAAACAACACAAAGAGGGACAGAGAGACAGAGTAGGTGGCTGGGAGACAGGCCAGGCTGTCCGAGTATAACACCAAGTAATGACTCACAGAGACAGGACGCAATTATCCAGCATTGTGTTGTTGTTGTTTTTTTATTGTTTTCAGCATATTCATAATTCAACACATGACATACAGTAAACACTAACATAAACATTCTGAATGAAAGAGAAGAGATCATGTGACCCAATCGGTCCGAGGAGGCTCTCACCTCAAAGACATGCGGCGGCGATGCCAGTTTTTAAAACTCATAATTAAATACGCCTGAAGGCCGGATGGATCCACCTGCAACTTTTTGAGGCAACGCCTTCTTGCAATGTTGTCCCGCAGCAGGGAGAGGCTTGAAAACAGGATCAGCTTGATTGTTGAGGATGCTTTTGCTCTTGTTTCCTGCTCAGGGGAGAGAACTAAAATGCTGCTGTTATAACGCCATAGTGCTGTGTTTGAGGATACAAGCCACATAGGTTAATCTCATATCATCACTTTAAAGCTAACTAAGACAAGGTAGAGTGAAGCAGAATTGAGTTTCAAGTAGGAAGTATCTCAATGCTAACACAACCATTTTATCATCTACTAAATGTGCTGTTTTAATCTCAGAATGCGACCAATAATCCCCGCACAATTGAAGAAGTGTCCACGTTTACAATCTGGAACACAGCAGCGGCACAAAACAACAGCTTTTAAGCATCCCCACCCTGACTATGTTGGATGAAAGTTGCTGATATGTGAACATGGTGGATACAGAAACGTGTTTTGCAAAGAGCTGCTACCAGAGTTGCTCGTCTTTCTGCCTCAAAATGTTGCAGTAACATCGTAGCCCGGAGGAAAATATGACAGATCCATGCCGTCTTTCTGCTGCAAAGGAAGTGCTTAAGTACCCCTGTTTAGGGCTAGGTAGGTACAGTCAGCCATAGAAATAGAATGAGTAGATTTACAGTGCTGTAATGAGATATACAATATATTATACACTGGTTCATGAGGGAGGCTTATGCTGTTTGATGTAAGCTGGCTCAAATTCCTTGCCTTGTTTATGTTTTCAGACCTGCAGCTTCTTGGATAAAATTTGTAAAATAATGTCTCCTGGTCACAATTCTTCAGCTTGTTGATTTCCACTTCAAGGACGATGTGAAAAAACTGCAGTCGAAACACAAATCATAGCGGCCGTTTCTTTAAAAATAAAAAAAAGGCAGCTAGTTAGTTCAGTCTTCGTATAGTAGTGCATTTTCTTTTTAACGTCAGCGTTGGACATTTGCCTCTTCTCCAGAAGTTAAAGACCCCCCCCCCCCTTGAAAAGGACCCCTTCCTTTCTACCGTCCCATCAAAATCTAGCCCATAGACTGCACATAAGAGGTAGCTGTTGCCCCAGGTACGCAAAAGTAGCTCATCTTAAATCTTTGATTATCAAGCATGATGTACATCTGTTAACTTTTAGCCTAATTTTGAGGAAATAAATAAGGCAGGAAACGTTTTAGGGTGTGGCTACTTAGTGATCGACAAGAAAACCTTAAAAAAAAGTCTTCAGAGTTTGTTTTACTGCATCACCTTCAATTAAAGGTGGGGTAGGCAGGATTCTGTTAAAGAAGCGTATTTTTTTGTGGTGTATATACAAACAAGCTTTTAATATCAGTCAATAGCTATTAGTGATTGATGACATTTGGTAATATGACGATATCGCTGTGTTTTGTTTTGTCTGTGTAGTCAACATTTTAAAATTGCTAAGCGGCCCGCTCTTTCTGACTGTAAACAAAGCCGTTCTCCACCTCCCCCATCCTGATTGGTTGTGAAAAAGACGCTGCTCCCCGTGTCGTTCATGAGCCCAAACAAAAGTTAGCGTGCTTCAATAACAGACAGTAGAAACCAACCAGAAAGTACGGAAAACTGTCTGAATCCTCCTTTGGCCACGACTGTCAACACAAGCAAGAAAAGGAAGTAAATACTGGAGACTCTGGCGGAATAGCGGGTGCATAAAAAGGAGGTCGACCGGACAAGAGCTAAACAGCCGGGTCAACAATGATTGCGGGCGCTTCAGGATCCTATAACCTTTCTGCTGGACAGGTAAACCACTGTAACAAAGTAAACCAAGTGTCTGTAACAGAAGTGTTTCTTGTCACCTGCTGTAGCGTGTTGTTGCGCAACTAAACTGTTAACCTCGGGTCCTGGACTATGTCACTTTATCCTAGTTGTAGAAGTCCTGCAAACATTGTGTTTGCTGGTCGTCTGTTGGCATCTATAGCAGCACGAATGCTTTTTACTTTCATGTTGACTGGACTCCATTTGTAATCATCTGAAGTATTTATCTGCATTATATCCAAAATTAATTGAAACAATACGAGCGAGCACGAGCGTCTGTTTGTGGGCGGAGCATAGAGGGAGGTAGGTTGGGAGGTGTAGTGTTAACATTCAAGATTGCTCCCAAAAACTGGCTCTTCCTCAGATCCTGCCTACCCCACCTTTAATCTGGCTGTTTATTGGCCTTTTTTGTCTCATAAATATTTCTATCTATTTCACAGCAACAGCGAATAATATTTTCATTACATCTCAAGAGTTAGCTCTAATTTCAGCTGACTGTTTTTGCGTTCACCAAATTTACTTTCACAACCAATCACGGTCAAGACGTTGATCTAGGTCAAGCTATATCTATTTTACAGACTCGTTCTATGTTGCCTCTTTTTTGGCATTGGTCCGCCATATTAAAACTGCACAGGTCCAACACACGGCATCTGATTGCAACGTCAACTTCTTATATACAGTCTCTGTTCCCTCTAACCCACCCACCCCCCAAAAAAACATCTTTATACAAACTGATTAAACTTCACAACAATTCACCATCAACACAAAGGTCACACAAAGATCCGTCATTATGTCCATCCATAAAAACACAAAACGTCACACATCCCCTTTTTATCTTATGTTTTTGTCGGCATTATCACGCACACACACACGCCCACACACACAATCAGCCACACACTCACATGCTCTCAAATACAATATGTACACACACAAACACATTCCCAGGAAATGAAAGACAGGCAGCACTCGCGGTCAAGTGCAGGTGTATGTTTCTATTGCATCACGGCTCATCACATCCCTCTGTTTCCAAACTGTTAGAGAGTGTCGTTGAGGATTTAAACGGTATTTAAAGATGAAAAGCAAAGGAGAAGGTAATGAGGTGAGACATTGTTAGTGTAGATGCAGTAGGGACGGGTTTTTGAGTGTCCAGTGTTCAGTCATGGATGACAATAGGGCCTCGCATCCTCAGACTCGGGTGTGGGTGCGGAGGGGCGAGAACGAGTCCCTGCGGCGGGCCCTGGGAGACCCTGCGCAGCGTGATCTGCTCGCAAGGCTGCCGGCAAGCGTGCCTCAGCTGGGAGCGGGACAGCAGCCGTCTGGCCCTCCTGCAGTGAAGGAGACAAGAGAGGACTTAAGTGCAGAAGAAGATACACGGGTACAAAGATAACATCAGCAAATCAAGGGTCCGAATTGATCCAGACTGAGAGGAAATTTTGACCTCTAAAAGGTTGTTGGTGCTCACAAGTGATGGAAAGTAAAGGCTGTTAAGGTGTTTGCTCTTTACTTTAGAATTAAAAATTAAGAATGCTTTTTTTTTAATTATAAGGGCCCGAGCCGAGAGCGCAGGTCGGCGGCGAAGTCCTATTGAGTCCTAAGGGTTCTCGATTATTATTATTATTTTTAATTTTACGGCCTCCGAAAACGCTAATTTGACCCCATGAACGACAATTTTTTTGCAGGCAGGTCGGGCCTGACGAAAATCGCAAAGTTTAAAGTGACCCAAAAAAATCGCTCCCCAGCGCCCCCTACAGAGTGCCACGAACGTTGACTTTTTCCGATCTGCCCGAAATTTTACAGGCACATGTATCTTAATGAGCTCTTAGATTTTGTGCGCTTGGACTTCATTCTCAGACACACGGTTAAAGAGTTATTTCGCTGTTTTCCGCCCATTTTGTCCATTTGCATATGTCACGCCAAACGTATCTTGTTTTATATTGATTTCCTAATGACTGAATGTTGACAGCAGTCTGATGAGTGGCTTTTTTCCCTTGTTGATACTGTATGTTTAACTGATACCACACAATATAAAGTGACACTTCAGAAAAAGCTTTTCAACGCTTGGGTCTGAAGATCACCAATCTCTTAGCTTCAGAGCTGCAAAATTAACTTAGTGCAGAGAGGGAGGGAAAAACATAAAGGTGACAAAATCTGTAACGTACAAATTCCTGTATTTAAGACATCCAACTTGTCAACAAGATCCAGTTTGTTCATCAGTCTTAGGTTTATTGCTCGCAGATTTTAAGTTTTGAATTATTGCGCTGAGTTCTCGGACTGAAAGTCTCCATTTAAAGTTAATGACTTACACTTCCATCCTAAGGTTACAGCCCTTAGCTAATGTTTGTCTCGGTGCATTATTTATAACTAGCTGAGCACAAACATGAGGCCCTCAGTGCTGTTAGCCTCTTCTTATTACTATGGGCTACTCTCAATTGCTGTGCATATTGTGTGACAGCAAGAGCCTGCAGGAGATAAGGTGTAATGGGGAAGCCTTATGAGACACACTGTCACTGTCTCACTGTGTTGTTGAGTTTTGGTCATTATTTGATCCAATATGCCACTGAACCCACTTATTCCCACCAATATACCATCTTTGGACACTGTAAAAACTCAGCTGTATTGTCAAAATTGTCAATCTTGTCTCTCATAGTCTAATTTGATTTTGGATATTATAAAAAATTTAAAAAATATGAATATCAGTCTGTTTCCAGGGTGTCAAAAACTTCTCATGAAGGCTCAAAGATTACTTTTTTGTCTGCTCGCGAGACAAATACAACCAAACCCTTTTTTTGTTTCCTCGTTCAAAATGTACCAGAGAGAATTACTTAAAAACCTATATTTTCTGGTGTGTTAAAAGCAGGTGAATCTATTCTGGGTTTTTAAGTCTATAAAAGGGACTCATTTGTGATGTTAAGACTGCAGCGCTTTCCTCTGTGAGCGGAAGTCTTTTTAACAGCCCACAGCAGCAACCAAAGGCAGTAAACCAGTGACCAGAGGGCACACTCACCAATGTTGGACACGGCACTAATGGAATTCATTCAGAGACAAATGCAGAAAGCATAACCACGATGAATGGCTGATTGTTCACAGGTCCCTTTAGGCAGCGTAGAAAAACACTTTGAGATTTAATGCACGGTCAAGCCCTCCTGCCAAGCTCTCTTTTTCTTCCTTTTCTCAGAAGCAATGGATGTTTTTCTTGTGTTATAAGCTTAAAAGAACACTTCGGTTTCCTGCGGATCCCTGCTGTTGATAAAATTAGCTCTTATAATGACTCTGTGTGCATTTTCGGACTGTGTGGTACGGTACATGTATTGTTGCTCAGAGCCAAAGCAGAGCTGTAGACCAGGGTCCAAAAGAACGGATTCAGCTCTGCTTGCACATAATCTGACGCTCTGCTGTTTGTCTGTTCAGCTTGTTGAAGAGCAAACATGTTAATCCGCACTGTCTCATTAACATTTTCTCTCTTTTTGCTGCTCTAATTTCTATTATTTTACTGATTTTCTGCATTGAATGTGAGATAAAGTCTTTTATTTAAATATAACCACTAAAATGTGATGTTGGTATAATGTGATTAGCATTTATGGGGTTATTTAACTGTTAACGCCTTGATCTATAAGCACCACCTCTCTTATAACCCTCTCGTACAGTATAAATATTAATATGCTTAATCACCATACTGTCCCTCTCTGTCCATAACAAGCTCTTTTTTTACTTTATTACTATTAAACTATTAACCTCGACATTGTAAGTTCTGCATAGTTTTATTTTATACATCCTCATTTTTATTTCTTTTATACATTTTGTATGAGCCATGCTGACGGGGCGTTTTAAACTAAAAATTTCACTACCAAAGTCAGCCTCCGTTTTATTTCTGAGCTCGTAAAAGTTACGATCTTGAACCTTGAACTCCTTTATATCCAGACATGGTTTATCGTCTGTTCACATGAATCAGCCGAGCATTGAGAAGGGATGTTGGGGTGGCTTTTTCCTGATGAAAAGGAAAATTAAATCCAAGTAGAAGAGCATTACAGCGGCCGTAAACCTGGGCTACAGCACCTACTAGTGGCGAGTGGCTGCACTACAGCATAGACAAACCGTTCAACTAGCATTCAGGATAGTCAAATTAAATTATTATAAATTGGCTCAGTTGATTAGTAATACTTGAAAGTGTGTTGATGTTTAATTGTTTACCTGTAAGCCAAAAAGCTCCTTAACCTTTTAAGGCCTTTTGTATCATAATTGATACATACTTTTATATACGTCTATCAAATCAATATGATCAACAAATTACTAGAAAAAAACACCTGAATACAGTCCGATAAATGATAAAAATGTCCTCTTTTAGTTTATTAGTTTCCAAAAACATCTAATGTATCAAACGAGATAAATAAATAATTTGTTAAATTTTAAGGACATTTTGATTTTTTTGTTTTTTTAGTAGTAATTAAAATAAACATTTCAGCTCCAAAAAAAGTTTGAATTTTATGGCCATAATTTAAAGGGCTACCTCATCTAGTTCTGAGACCTCACAGATACCATTGTTTTCTCTCAAATATCGAAGCGGGGAAACACTACATCTTTTATTTCTATCTTTTGTTTTCATCATCAAATATTTATTTTAGTGCACAATAATTCAAGTGTAAAACAAAAGTGGTTTTGCCTCGAGAGAAAAATTGTAAACAAAACCGTACCAACTCTCCCTGTAGAAGTCACTTTGCCAGTTTGTGACAGTCTTTCAGGACGATGACTTCTTCCTGGGGCTGTCCAACAAATACTTTATAAATCACTATTAACTACTTGATTTTGATAATTAATCAACATTAATAAAATTTTTATCGCATATTTGGATTTCCATTATTTTTCATTTCAAAACAGTTCATTTTATTTAATATTAACAATGTAAAGCAATTCCTCCCAGCGTTGTGATTTGGGAATCAGATGAACGCATGAAATGTACATTTTTTGTTGTTGAATTTAGATTTATTATTCAAGTAAACGATACACTGGTTAAAAGCAGCTTCAAAGTTCTTATTATTGATGCAGTACTGATATTTGTACAAGGAATTACACCACAACATGAGAGGTCTGTTAGGACTTCACTTATATACGATGTTGATTAACTTTCAATCAGTTCCCGACCATTAAGCCACACTTAAGTGAATCTCCATTAATGCACCGTTCCTGCTTAAACTAAAAAAGGGGATTTGGATACTTACACTGGGGGACTTTCAAAATAAAACGACATTAAAAAGAAGTCCAGAGTTTAACAAGAACTCCACATTTAACTCCTATTGTGTGAAATAGTCACGCCATTGCAGCAACACACAGTTTTTGTGTTTATCTGTGTTGATATTAGCTCTCGATTCTGGTGCCACTAATGAATTTAACGTTTACAGCCCTTAGTTATTCTCAGATTTGTTTAGAGTAAGACATTTCAACTAGAAGATGGACTACATTTCAAGAATGAGAGTAAAGAAATTGCTGTTCTCCTAACTTTCTTTTCACCCCCAGAGGATGACTTACGATTACTTCTTAAAAATTCCCAGAGTGTTAATCAATATCTCTCTGGACGGTTGCCTCAGAGTGAAACAAATCAATTATTGACAGTTTCTATTTACTTGGAGACAAAAACTACTTTCCCCTGAAGACTATGGAAGTATTGTAAGAAAAACGGTTTCTCTCTAACTCTTCTATCAGCGTCATCTGGAGTTGTGTGGCACTTCATTTCGCACTGTGCAACTAATGCTTAAAAAAAGGGTCTAATTTCCTATCTCTGTCTGCTTCTGTCTCTCTTTACCCCCCTGAATAAGTAGGATTGATCTCCCTCTCTCCTTCTCTGCGTCCTTCATCACACTGAGAGAAAGAAAGAGTGGAAGAGGGTAAGAGTGGATGGGAAAGAGGAGAAAATGAAACTTTGCATCATCTCTCATTAGCAGCAGCCTTTCAGCAGCAGATCTATTAACGTCTTTTATTCAGAACATCATTAACCCCGTGTTCAAGGAAAGGCAGAATAATATCACTGAGTGCACCAGTCACAGTCATGCAGTCATTTCTCCAACACACAGCCATGCTGAGCGTAGTAAGTGCGTGATCCATGGGCGTGAGGCTACGCTTAATGTGGTAATGATATTTCCACTTGGGGCCCAGTGGTGCCTGGCTCCATGCTGGTCCATCTACACCAGTTAGAGGCGCTAATTTTAGCCCCCATGATCAGAGGGCGGCTGTGACGGCCGGGTGCCATGGCTCATTTAGACACAGGCCTTAATGGAAGAACATCTTTCTCTCTCACATGCAGACGTGCAAACATTAGCTCATTATATGCGCACCACGGCGTGAGAGAGTGTTGATATTTTACCAATATTACTTTGATTGTTTGTGGACAACAGATTCAAAGAAAATTTAATTACATCTTGAAGAAATATCAGAATTGTGTGTTCAAAAGAAGTGCCCTGTGGAAGGAAAACAGACCGTCAGGGACTGAAATTTACCCATTTGTCTGCTTTCTTTTCCAATTAACACCTTCACGGAGCTGTAAACATGAATTTGTTTTCAAGGCAAACACCAGACTATAAATACTGGTGGAGAACAGATTATCATTTGATGCCAAGGTATTCAAACTCAAACAGAGCGAGTAAGAGAAGCTAATCGATAATGGGTGTATTTGTAAAAATCCAAAATCAGATTGTGGATGTATTGAGACTCAGAGTGAGCGCCGCGCATGAATTATTAACCAAAGAAACGGCTGTGCTGATGTTAAAAGAGAGAAAAATCGATACCTGAGAAGAAAATGTAACACGTTTTCTGAGAGATTTTGTAAAATACACAATAAAAAAGAGAACAAGACATACTTACACACAAACACAATATGGCAAGGCAGTGAGCTAACGCTAATGTAATGATTCAGATATATCTTCACATACGTAGCTCACTAACATGGCTGCAACATTTAGCTATGATTGTCATTTTCATAAAGTCTAGTACAAGCCCAGCATTTGTTTTTACTCTGTTGGTTGGTTCCAGATTTTTCTCTATTAAGACACTTTAATTTGATCAAGTCTAACATCTGGACTTCAAGCAAAGTCCAACAGAGTTTTGTTTTTATTTGCTTGTATTTGGTTAAGTCTAACATTTGGAATTTGTTGGCCTTAATTAGTTCATGTCCAGAATCTGGTTTTTGAAAAGTCTGTTTTGAGTTCACTTGAGAGACCTACATCTGGTCAAGTCCACCATCTTGTATTAAGAAGGTATATTGGCTTACATTAAATAGGTATTACAAAGGCAAACATTGAGCAAAGTCCAACACCTCCTATTTGGTAATCCTACATTTGGTGAATTCTACGATCTTGTATTTGTTAGGCCTGTATTTTACAGTTTCCTTATGTGTTTTGGCTTCACTCTTAGCTTATGTGTGAATTTTGAAGTGTATATTAACGGCTCTGAGCTACATAAACGAAATGTTGACCCCCTATGATTCAGCCCACAGCCTGAGAAACTGAGGGTGACGGCACTTTGTCCATTAAGGCTCCTTGACTTTGGAATGACCTGCCTGAGGAGATAAGATCCTCTTTCTGCCTTTTATCACTTCCTTTTTTTTATGTTGGCTTAATTTCTCTTATACTCTCAGGGCTCTATTTTCGTGCCCGCCGGCGACACGGCAGAGGGCTGCCTTCTGTCGCCATTGTGTGGCATTGCTGTCTCTAGACATCTTTTGATCTCTTTGACTACTTCACGAAAATAGTAATACCCCTCACTGGTGGCGAATGTAAAGGTGAGGAGAGGAGCGGTTCTGATTGGCGAAAAGAGGTCTCGGCTGTGTTAAACCCACTCCATGCTCTCTCTACGACTTACGCCGCTGGGAGGAGCTTAGTTAGGGAGGGGGGATACTTTCGCTTTGGGCACACCTTGTCGGCACGGCGGACCTGACTTATACTGTGCCTACGCCACGTCGCCGGCGAGAAACGAAAATAAGGCCCTCAGTTTTTTCTTTGTAGTACATAGTTGTAAGTTAACTTTTTAATGCTGTAACCTCTTTATTGAGTTTTCTAGATTTTAAATAAACCTTAGGACGTATTGTATAACTCTAACTTATCTACTGCCCCTGTATGTTTCTATTGCTTTTATCTATTTCTAATCCCCAATTGTTTCATCTCATTGCTTTAATTGTTTTTACCTCATCCTTAAGCTTCTAGTTTTTACATCTATGGTCCTCTTGGTCTCGTTTTATCGTGTTTTTTACATAACTTCAGTATTGGAGACTAAATAAGAATTTAAGTTCAGAGTCTCCTCCGTTGCCCCCACCCTCTGAAATTCACTCCCCAAACCCAACCATGACTGTACTGACCCCCACACTTTTAAATCACTCTTGAAAACACACTTTTTTAAAATGGCTTTTAACCTGTGACTCTGTTCTTTTATTTTGTCTTTTTTAACCTTCTACATCATTGATTCTCATAATTTTCTGTATTTTAAATTGTCTTTTTTCATCTTATTTTTCTTTGTAAGGCGTCTTTGAGCACCTGTAAAAGCACGTTATAAATAAAATGTATTATTATTATTATTATTATTAAGAAAGGAAATATGTCAATAAAGTGATGTTTGTGAGCAAATGCAGTGTTAGAGAGTTATTCATACACTGAAGAAAGTGTCTCATTTTTTGCTTCATCAGTCATCATTCTTATATGAAGAATTAAACTGTCAAAATATCGTAATCCTGTTTGCTGATACTGGTGTTTTACGATGATTATTATCTGTATGAGCTGTATCAGAGTAATGAAAATAAACTGTTTTCAAATGGATCTTTAAATCTCAAAGACAATTAACACCCTGTGGTGGTGCTTAATGAGAAATCTTTGTAGGCTGTCACTCGCTGAAACTTAATGGCTCTGCGTTAATTTAGGTGTATAGGGTTGAATCTGTCTTAGTGTGCAGGACGGGCAGCCTTAGGTCAGCACGAGATGAAAATAAGTCTTTTTTTCTCTAATCTGCTGTGGCCAGAATCGCTCTATTTGCCTTAATATTCACACACAAACACACACACACACAAAAAGGGAACCAACTGGAGGTAAGGAAAGGGTCACCTTTGCTTACCTGGTCTCCCTGGTGACTAGGAAGAAGCTGTCATCAGGGGCATCGATCCAATTGGGGCGGCGCTTGCGGATCATGACCCCACCCCGGGTGCTGCCGCTGCTGCTGTTACGTCCGTTATGCTGCAAAAAAGAGACGATCATATCAAATTATAAGTCAATAACGTGAGCCCTGAAGGGTTTGTTTGAAAATATAATAAGACACCTACCAGGAGGGGTCCACCTGTTGTACTGGGGTTCTCTGCAAAAACAAAAGAAAGATCTAATGATCAGGATTGATTCATTTTCTTTGTCACAAGTAAAAAATATGACAGTGTAATTTTAATAACATGAGTAAACTTGAAATTAAAAAACAAAGTGTCAGAATGAGATTATCCAAATTACCCCCATGATTCCCGTCTATTAGAAATTAAATGTCATTATCCCCAACAAGCTGGTTTAGATGAAAAACACGCAGAAATGGTTATCGACTCTGGGTGAATTTCCTTTTAATTAGATTTTTTTTTAAGCGAAATGGTAACAAAAAAATTGAATATCAACACAGTTTGGTCCCGAGGGTTCATTCACATCAGGTGAGACTTAATCAAAAGTAAGGAGAAACACATTTCCAATTTTTGGAGGGGTTTAAAAGATGAAATGCAATTACTTTTTGCTTCTAGGCAGGATTAGGTTTGGCAATAACAGTCTCACTGGAAGAAAAAAAGTCATTTTAAGTTTTGCGGATTTGATTTTTTTTTGTTGTTGAGTGTTTACCTGAGCGCCTGTCTTGCTCAACCCTGCTGTGGTGGTGGTAGCTGCGTTTCCCCAGCATGCCGTGGGGGCCGTGCGGGAGGGAAGAAAGGAGGCGTCGGGGCGGAGGTGTCTGCAGGCCAGGGGTGCGGTGAGAGCGGGGGGCGTGGGCTGCCGGACGGGATTCTGGAAGAGACACCAGACTGGAGCTGCATCAAGTGGCTCCTACAGACCTTCAGAGTCTGATAAGCTGCTCAAAGGTGGATTTTTAGGGTGTGGTTTACCTAGAAACTGCAGAACACTGGTCAGAGTGCTCCTTTGGGCCGCTCTGGTTTTGGGTAGGCGGGTCCCCTGCCCTTCTGAGACCCTTAACATGTCTAAACCAAACACACACACACACACATTGTAATATTTTACATAACAGTGTTGTATCTTTCTGTGTACATGATATACCTTTTGTCCGTGTTCGCAAAAGCCACATTTCCACCTAAAGTAGCCAGAACTTTCAGTTCCAGAGGTCAACTTTTGTAGAACTTTAAGATACTACGAGGCTACTGTCTGTTTCCACCTGAAGTACCAGTTTTTTAACCCCAAAGTCTGTTTTTAAAGGGATTTAAAAGGTTCCTGCTGCCTGTTGTTGTCTGGGTCAATATCAAGGGAACTTGGTACTTTAGTTTAAAGGTCTTCTTCAGGCTACTATTGTCTGTTTTCACTCTGAATATTTAAGTTTCTATTGTTTCGGGGTTTCCATTCTTATTTCCGCTGATGACTAAGATGTCTTCAGCGGAAATCAATCAAGACAAAGTTTCAAATCTGAGGGGAACTTTTAAAAGGATTAAAAGGTTCCTTTAACAGTCACCATCATTTTCACCAAGGTCTACACACCTGTGAAAATTATTAGTTTTATTCAGCCTTTAAGAGTCATCTAAAAAAAGACACAACCAAAGGGAAATCTCAAGACCCCCCAAACCAAGTATCTGGTACTTTCTGAAATCCCTGTAAAGAGGACCTTTTGAAAACTCAGGGACATTTTCAAGCATTAGTTCCCGCAGTGAGATCACACCCCCTTAAGTAGGAGAGGACTTGAGGAAGACTTAGAAATACCTCCTAAAATTCTTTGGTACTAGTTCTTAAAGTTGCAGCAGTGGAAATATGTGATTAAGAGGACCTAAGGCTCTTAATAGTTCCTAGTTTTTGCAGATGATTCTTGCAGTGGAAACACAGCATTTGGTATTATTTCAGTAATATTCGAACAAAATGTTCCTCTTTTAGATTTTTGCCAAACTATCTATAAAATTTAAGTCATGGCATTAGTGTAATGGATGGTTCCAGTTGTAAAATCTGAACATTTTTGAGATTTGAACTTAAATTCCTTCCTAAGGGTTTATTTTTCCCACATGCACATACAGAGAAGTACATGCTTACGTGCACACGCAAACAAAAAAATATCAAAAACACACATCAAAAAATGAAGGTTTAATGAGAGCAGGCACTGGAGTTTGAGTCCATGCTTGGGCAAAGTGGGGGGTGGGAGTGGGGTGGGGGTGGGGTGCCTTTATGGTCCCTCTTCGGAGTGTGGTGGAGTTGATGGACAGATAACACGGGACACATGAAGCACAAGGACTCAGAAGAGATGCTTTCAGGTGTGACTTTATTGGAGGTCTACTCACACATTCACACAGTGATGAAAGAAAAGAGGAAAAAAAAACTAAAAGAGGAGGTAGGAGATGAGATGGAAGTATTGCAACAGTTGTTAGAAAAATGACGGCAGAGTGGAAGGAGGGGAGGGGGGGAGAAATGGCTCTGAATGGCAAATCCTGTCTGCAGGAGGATTTATGAGAGAGAACAGGCCACATGATGGATTCATATGAATATTGCATGAACACAGGAGAACAGCTGAATGGAGGGCATGGCGAAGGAGCAGCCAAGAAGACATGGTTCAGATGGTGACTCCTTATGCGTAAAGCCTAATCTAGCAAGAGGATGCAGTCAGCAGCAAAGAAGTCAAGAGCAGCAAGTTTTTTTTTCTTTTCTTTGTACCAAATAAATCTAGTTCTTCCTACAGCGTCTCTTCTTTCAAGTTTCATCAGTTTAAAGCTTAGTATCAACCAATAACACATCGATTATGTCTAATACACTCACAGAACAGATGAAAACAACAAGAAGGAAGAAAAATGAGTGCAAAAAAGAAAAAAAAAAAAAAGAACGGGGTAAAAATGATGAACAGCTTCAGCTGAGGTTCAGTATTTACAATAAACATTCAAAATGTGAGGCAACTTGTTCAGCCATGACAGCACAGACTGGGCCCGCCCGTGCAAAATAGAGCTTCTCTTAGTAAAATACATTCTCTCTACATCTATCTTCAGCAAATATACGGCTCAGACTGGAATATGATTAATATTCGATTCTATTACAGTCTACTGGTTACGGATGGGAGCAGAACGAGTGATTATGTGCGTGTGAGGAGTACAATCGGCCTGTTGAACCGATAAATCTTTGTGTGTAATTACCAACAATGGCTTTCACTTCACAGTGACAGAAACCACAACAGAAAAAAGGGTAAAAAATAAAATAAAATAAAAAAAATAAAAAAAACACGAATGAAAAGATGATCAAAACTCATAGTTATGAGGACAGGCAGTCTTTATTGGAAACAGGGGTGGGAGAATACAAAAACCAAAATAATAATAATAACAATAATAATAAAAACTGAAAGAGAGACAGACGGAGGAGGAGGAGGAGGAAGAGGGGGCGGGGCAGAGACGGGAAGAGATGGGGGTTTGATGATGGGGCGTCAGTGTGAGGGGGGGTGATGAGTGTGTGTGTGTGTGTGTGTGCATGTATGTTGTGTGCATTTGTGTGTGTGTGTCCATGTGGCAGCAGTTAGGAGGAATTGAAAGAGCTCTTACACTCTGCCTTTATGGCCCCACAGTTAATGGGCACAAAGGGCCGGCGTGCGGCACGGCGCAGCTTGATGATGTCACGGCACATGTGCCGGGCCAGCTTGGTGAGGCGGGTGGCCTGCAACAGGAAGGCCTGCTTGGTCTTCATAGAGGATTTGGGGCTGCCGCTGTTTCTCATGGGCACCATGTGGTTGGACTGGCGGGGGCCGTGACTCCGCGAGCGAGGTTCCTGAGGAGGCGAGTGAGAACAGAGGGAATGAACACGAAGGATAAAGGACAATTCCACTGTTTTAAAAAATACTCGATCGCCCATTTCTTCAATCAGAAAACAAAATTCTCTTTCAAACAGGTTATAAAATTTTACATACTTTACAATTTCAACATCTATGGTCTTAAAGGGATATTCCGGCGTAAAATTAATTTAGGGTCAAATGTACCGTAACACTGAGTTAGACACTCCATGGAGCGATGATTGCTGCCGAACACTTTCTTCTCTAGTTATACCAACTTTAGTAACGACCGCAGCACCTAACTTCATCAACAGTACATATAGGGTCCCAGCCATAGTACTAGCCATCAAACATCTTTTTAACTTTCCCTAATTTCCCTAAAACACAACTCACCTACTCTTTTCCAGAAGCCATTTGTTTCTAGCAAGACCTACGGACTACAGCGGGGTGCCGCAGCTCAAGGAAGAACATGTATGATCATTTCTTTATTATTTCCTTAAAGTAATAATCACCATATTAATCATTCTGCACTGCAGACGCGGTAGTTCTGCCGCCTTAGCATCTCAGTCTGATTGCATTTCCATGAAGAGATGATCATACATGTTCTTCCTTGAGCTGCGGCACCCCGCTGTAGTCCGTAATGGACTGGCCCGAGGTCTCGCTACAAACTCGCGGCTGGTGGAAGAGAGTAGGTGAGTTGTGTCAAGTCTCTTTGTTAAAGAAATTGGGCAAACTTGATGTTTAGTGGCTGGGACTCTGTATGTACTGTTGATGAAGTTAGGTGCTGTTCTGAGCATTATTTGTGGCTATAGAGTGGCGTTTTGGTTGAGGTTTGTTTATGGCTCCTCAGACCGCTGTGTATTGCTATCGTATGGTTGTTACTGAAGTTGGTATAACTAGACAAGCAAGCAATCGGCAAAATTCATCTCTCGAGGGGGTGTCTAACACTGTGTTACAGTGTGTTTGACCCCAAATTAATTTCACACCGGAATATCCCTTTAAGTTCTTTTAAACCGGAGCAGCCTCTTTAAGGTCAGAACTTACATTGCTTGCTGGACTCGGGGAGGTCCTCTCCTCTGGGCCCTCCGCTCTGCTTGGCATCTTCAGGCCTCCGTACTTCTTCCAGTACATCCAGCAGGAGACACACAGGCGGCACTGCATGTTCGGAGGCCCCCATGAGTACCACTGGGCCGACTGCATGGCTGTTAATGTACGAAACACATTAATGAGCGACGAGCACCGGAGGAGAAAACTGGTCCAGACACACTTAGCACATTGATTCCTCTCACGCTGCTTCAAGTCTCTCCATTAATGATTTCATCAGCATTCGATTAGACGGAGCCAGAGAGCATGCTCACAGCTGACTGATGATCTAAGTACATAAAACATCTTGGAGCTGCAGAAATGTCGCCTGCATTAGAGAAGAAAATATGAGAATAAAAGCGAGGCATGATGTGGGTTTTGCCTCATGTAGTCTGCTCCTTTTAAAATCCTGAATCCAGTTTTGAGGGCCTCTTTGTAGCAGGTTGCTACTAAATCCTTTAAAATATTTAAATTCTGTATTTTTATTTTGGCTTAAAGATTTAATGGCTGCTTATTAAAAAAATAGTACTACAGGTGCAAACCACTTTTGGGCTTTTCTCACTTTTAGGCGTGTTGCATGTTTGACCTGCCAGTCTATCAGCGCGCCAACTCTATCCTCAGTCAGGATAAATTTAGTCGAAGACAGACACTTTTACGCAATGAGATAAATTAACACCTTGTCTTTTACATACACTATAAAAGCTAATGCAGGCAGAGCAGTAGCAAAGACTATCTGGGTACAAAAGAGTGCAGGAATTAGTGACAACATGAATGATGCTGGTAAAACAGAATGAGGAAGCTGAAGTGGAGGAGGGTTTCGAGGTGGATTTAAGGTGAAGTAGCGATAGTAAGAAGGCTGAAGCAGTTTAAGTAGAGCGTCTACTGTGGCGTTTTCCATTTGGACCTGTTAAAGGTAATCAACTGAGCTATCTGGTGTGAGGATCAGCTGATGTACAGTCTCTAAACCGCGCTTAATGAAGCGCAGCGGGTTGAATAATGGTGATTTAATCAACTTGTAGGTTTCCTTTCCTTGGAGTTTAGTAATACTTCCTCTGATACTTCACAGCTGAAGCTTTTTTAAGCTCTTTTAAGACACACTGGTAATTCTTTATATGAACCCACCTACTATAAAGCATCATGAGCACATTTATAAAGCCTTATGAGTGCATCTTTAAGGCTTTATAACAACCCTTACCAGGTTTGCCTTTATGCGACTCACTGTCCAGTCCCTATATGATACATACCATCCTCTACTCTCTCCCCTCAGTCTGTACATCATGTTTATCTCCCACTGTCTCCTCCAATAATAGCCAGAAGCCGGGAAAGTCGTCTTAAACATTTATATAAAAGGACATCACAAGACGACAAGTGTTTGTCTTTTTGTTCTGTGAGTTCACGGAGAGAACAAAACCTACAGAGCTCCTAATCTGAAGCACAGAACATTCAGACTTTGCTCCGAGGTGCTGATACGCAGAATCGATGGCAAAAGCAGGTATTGATCAGTAGATTAGTCCCAGCTGTCAGGTTAAATAAGCACTGATGGAGAAAAAGGCTGAGCGGCATCTCTTCAAGAGCGAAAAGAAGAGCGAAAGCTCAATACTGACGATGAATCTTCTGGTCGTTGGTTTGCCTTTCATATCTCGCCGACTCATGTTCACTACCTTTGTGATTTAATTTCACACTCCCTTTGCTTAAGCGTGCTCTCGCTCTCTTTCTCTCTTTTAAAAAACTCACTGTAGCAGCTCTCGCATGCTCGGCCCCCGCCCGCAGCGTGGTAGGCCCCGGGGCCCGCTCCGTTCACTGTGGCCATCTTGCCGTTGGTCATAGAGATCTGGTTGGGGTTGGGCTTGTTACTGTCGGACAGGAGACAACAGCAGAGATTTAATAAACACGTTAGCGTTCACGCCGCAGTAAAGACACATCACATGTGAGGCGGAGTGACTTACTATGTGGGGATGTAAACTTGCTTCAGTTTGCTCTCTGCCTCCGCTGCCTTCAGTCTCTTCTGCTCGGAAAACAGATTCATTCATTAAAAAACAAACAATGCCACAGATGCCTGTCTTTCATTTAAAAAAAAAAAAACCCTGTCAGACATTTTGACACCTTTCATAATGATGTAATCTCCGTCAGCCTGCCAATCACAGATGATCCGAAAATTTGCCAAGTTTTTTTTTCCCCCTCTCCATTTTACAAGTGTTAGTTTCAGTCATTGTCTGCTGATAATCAAAAAAATACCTGCTCTCAATCTGAGGATTAAAACAACTCAAAAACTATCTATTTCATTTCCGCTGGTCACCCAAACACTTTCCAACATCTGCTCATTTTCAGTTTCTGCTCTTGATTCAAATCTGTCGTTTAGACGGAGAGTCAGAGAGTCGAAAACAATGTCAAAACTTTTGCTGCGACTCTGGAGAGAGGGAGCTTTCCTAGACCTAAAAAGGAACTCTGAAGACACCGAATCTGTGTGAGAAAATTCTAAGATGATTTAATACATCTAATAGAAAAAGCGATGAAATGACTTTAAAGAGGCTGCACTGTGGGATCCAAATTTTTTTCCACGGCAATATTTAATCATTTTTTATTAAAACCTGTCCCCTGCAGCCTCCTAACTTTTATCTTTCTCCTCTAAGTGCAGAACTAAATCACGAGCGCCCATCTGCAGTGCGCCGGCAGATTCGACGCGACAGAAAACATTCAGAATAAAAACTTCAGACATGTTTAAAACATGAATACAGACGACTGGAAACTTCAACAAGACATGCGAGCTTAAAGCTCCTCTAAGGAGTTTTTGACATTCATAAAAAAACACTTAAACCCTTGCAGCAAAAAGTTAGGCCAAAGATTTGTCAAACTGATTATCTTGTGATGTGAATTTTCAAGGAGGGGTTAAAGCCCTGAGGAAGGTGAAGGTTGCTGGGGTTTAACTTGGGAGTTGTGTAGGGTGACCATATTCTGAATTCACAAAAAGAGGACACGACTACAGAGTTGCACGTAGTTAATTTTAAGAGTTTTCCGGGTCGGATCGAGTGTTTTTTACGCACTTCTAACTCAGTAAGTCCACGCGACACAAACTCAAAACTTCCATACAAAACACCGGATATTTGAAGGATATTATAAACTTCTGTAAAGAGGACACGTCCCGGTAAAAGAAGACGTATGGTCAATCTAAAATTGTGGAAAGCTATAATGAAAAATACTAGTCATTATGTCGTAGACTAACTAGGTTGCAAACTCGATTGCCTCACACTGTAAACTTTATTTTCCTTTTCAGGTTCAGCATCTCTTTGTCTTCCTTTGACAACTCTGATGCGTCTCACCTGTTGCACATATCTGTCTGTGGTCTTCCACATGTAGTAGTACTCTATGATGCTCGTCAGGGACTTCCATGGCAGCTGCACAACAGGAGAGAGAATGAGAGGTGAGGAGAGAGGTGGAGAGGGAGAAAGGGGAGAGAGAGAGAGAGAGAGAGAGAGAGAGAGCAAATTAATGATATTAATATCTCGTGTTCTTGCCATCTGGGTGCGAAAAGCTTTCATGTTTATTCATGAGTGAGAGGCATCGTGACCACAGAGGCTGAAAAGCTACCGGCTTTGCCTGATTCTGAGAAAACACACACATACGTGCACACACAATGATTCACACATTTAATAAGTATTCATGAGCACCTGGTGCCACCGTGTACACCCATATCCTGCCTTTACTGTACAGATTAGGTAAGAGCGGGAGGGTGAAGTCGAGCTCAGCAGGATGAAATAGTCACCGAAGTAACGGTCAGTATCTCTTCAGTATGAAGAGGTACAAACTGTACAGTAGAGCATTGTTGTTCCAGTATAAAACCAGCAAAGTGGATAATAACTGACGTGAATCGATATCTGTGTAAACGCCGGAGTTTGTGCTTATGTTTGTCACAAAGAGTGAGTTATTTTACAGCGAAGTGAATCAAGCTGGAGGAGTGATTTATAGAAATGTGACACTTTCATACCTCAAAACATCAGCGAGGACAAAATGATTTATGAACTCGAACTAACCGCAGCTGAGAGTTTCAGAGTGAAAAGGCGCCTTTTAGAGCTTACAAAGAGGGAGCGTTCCACCCTCCAACATCAGAGGAAATGATCGCCTTTTTAGTGCCGGTACAGCAGGCAGGACTCTCAATGCAAATGTCGCCAAGGCGTGACGGGAGAACCAAGTTTTTTCCCATCATTAAGGCAGAGTTAGAAAGAGACGGTGCAGCAGAGGTGAGAGGGGCTCAGTATAACACGGCAGAGATGACGGTACAAATCCCAAATCAAATAAATGATCCCCTCTCTTAACTAGCAGATGTTTTTCAGGCGTGCAGGCACAGACTCAGCTCCTCATCAAGTGACTCAACTTTTCACAACTGTTGCGCGCTTCGGTGAAATTGTGAATTTGATATAATAGTGAACAATACTGCAATCTATGACTGTGAGATAATAACGGCTTTTTCCACTCATTCAGGCAAGAGGCATTTCAAATCTGCTTCCTACGATCTCTGATGTCTCCATTGTTCAGTCAGTACGTTTACATGACACTCAAGAAAACTGAATTATCGCCTTATTTAGATTAAGACCGGACAACTGAAGTGCATGTAAACACCTTTATCCGACTCTGATCGGTGTTTGAGAACTCCGATTAAGACACCCAGATAATATGATTGGAATCCGATTTTCTCTACCATGTAACCAGCGCAGTCGGAGTATGATCGGACAACGCATGTGCCCCTGCGCCACACCCCCATGACTCCGGAACAAAAACACCAGAGAAGTGGAGTAGCATGCAGAAAAAGTAGCGTGTACATCATGTACGGCAAAAACAACGCTGTACGATTCTCCATCTTCTTGCTCGAAAAATGACCAGCAGCAGTTGTAGCCACTTCTGACGTCTGACACAGACCTGCTGTCGTTGTTGACGGTCGTATGGGGTCCATATCGCCCCCTAGTTTTGGGAAGGAGGGCACGTTCACGTCAATAATCCGATTTTCTCAGCTGCATGTAAACGTGGACAAGGAGAGAAGTCTGATTCGGCAAAATAAAGAATTATGAGCTTAGTCTGATTAAGCTGTACATGTAAACGCACTGATTGTCGCACATTTCTACAAGTTGGTTGTGTAAATTTGTTTAGCCAGTCTCTATCACTCTTTGCAATCTGCGTTGGTCGTCTATGTTAACTTCTTTGCCCTTGTAGACCTGATCTGAAGCTAGACTCTTTACAAAACCTCACTTTGTTCAGCTCGCCACGTCTTCCCAGCTACCTGTACAAGATTTGTCATATTGTTGGACGAGAGACGAAGAAGAGCGTCGCAATATTTCATTGTTTTATTTTCGCCGTATGGATTTAGTTTGTATTTTATTTGAATTGATTTTCAAAAGTAATATAAAGCATCATTACACTCCCTAGAAACTCCAGATGGCGGTTCACATCTTGCGCTTCTGTGAAGCTCTAACCAAATTTAAATCAACTCAATGGGACACATGTATTACACAGCGGCAGATTCAATACAAAGGCACAAAGGTGCAGTGAAGGCACAGCTTTATTACGGCGCTGCTGTAGGCTCGCTTATATGAAGAATCTTGATATCTGCAGACTATCTCAGGATCTCAATTTCATAAAGATAATACTTTTTTTTAGAAAAGAAGATGATAACGGTGGCTGGAATCTTTCTATAGCAAACTTTAGCAGGTGCTAGATGTCCCGTGAAACCTCAACAGACACTTACAAAGTCTTGCCGGATGTCGTTGAAGTCTTTTCCGTATTTCTCTAGTGCCTCCTCGAACATGGCGGCCTCTGAGGCGCTCCACTCCTCCATCTCGTCCCTGCAGAGCACCGGGCCGCCTGCTGGGACCAGCACACTCAGCGCGCTGGACAGGTCGTAGTTGTGGCGATGAAGCGTGTCCATCGCGTGGAACTGCGCGCAGAATCGACAGAGAACGGCGGGTTTAATATGTCGTCAGTGACACGATCAGGTGCGTCTCTGCGCTGTTTATGCGTGCCCGACTCACCAGTGTGATATCTCGTGAGGCTGCAGCTGCACTCATGTGTAAGCTCGGCTGTCTGACTGAACTGCTGCAGTCCAACGCTCGAGCAAAGGTCCCCACCGCCCTGATGCGAACACACACACAAAAACACAAAATAAAGAGTTCATTACTGCAATGTCATACATCTTTGTCAGTGAGGCTCATTGTTTGTTTTACAGACGCCAACACATGGCTTTGAATACGCTTCCAGTAATAAGGAGGCAACAGAATAAAAGGCAGCGAATTAGAGAACAATATTTCACTTCAAATACAAACGCTGCTGCTGCTGCTGTTAATAATTGATTCAACTTTAAGCATTATTTTTCCTCTCCAAAATAACAGATTACAATAAATAAATCACTATAAATATGAAGTATTAAAATATTAACTGATTCTCTATAAACATCCAGGGAACACAACAATGCCAGTTTACTTTCTCTGCAGAGGAGGCCGCGTTTTTGATGCGGGAAGTTTTGATCTTAAAAGTTCCATTTTTCTAATACATGCACAGACAAATGCAGCAGCTGACCAATCAGCATGCTCAGAGGTGAGGACTACGTACCGTGCCACCACCAGGAATTGGTCTATTTGTTTGTTGGTGAGAGGACACTCTGGATCCCACAGCTTCTCCTCTAGCTTGGACTGGTCCCTGTCGTCGGCCTCACCTGCAGGGCGCACGGAGACGACCGCTTAAATAAGTTAGTAAGGTAGCTTTATTTGCAGACAAAAGTAACAAAGGGGTTCATATGAACAAAATACAATCCACAGAGCTGTAAACAGGGAGAGAAAGCAGACTCACTGAGTCACAGATGAAATTCCTGCAGGAACAACAATGCAATAACCAGGTACAATAAAAGGCACGATAAAAACACATCATTCACAGGAGGAGATGGGCGAGCATGATGTACCTAAGCAACTCTGAATAGTTTTGTTTTCTGCTCCTTGTGCTCACTCTATCCCTCTGCTTCACTTACACACACCTAGACTGTGATAATATGCTTCGTTATTGACAACATGCAGATCATTTGTAGTCACACTGGAATAGAGTGTGAGTGTAGGGCTGTAAAGTCCTAGTCGACTGTAGAGATTCACCGATCCAATTTTTTTTTTTTATCCAATCCAATACCAATACCTGGACTGAGCTTATCGACCGATATCCAATACCGATCCAATACTACTGTTGAATGAATGAACTGTATACTGTATACCTTGCCCTGTGAGTGAAGGCATCAGGCTTTATGTTAGCTGTGTTAAAAAATAAGGTAACAAATTAACAGCAATATAAATTTACTTAATATTATTTATCAACAAATGCCAAATTGCACATTGGCACACAGCAAAAAGTATTAAGACTTCCATGTATTAGAAGAAAAATGTATTAAAAGAAAAAAAAAAGGCTGGATCAGAACGCTGAATCGGCATCATTTATCCGATATCCGATCCAGTTAATTTGTCAATATCGGAGCCCTAGTCGACTGGTCGAGTTATCGGTCGATACATGCTGAGTCAACCAAAATTCTGATTGGTCGACTCGTTTCTTTTCTGTGTCAATTTACAGTGTATGGTTAATTTCATCAGGAGGAATATACTAAGTGCTAACGGGGGTGTTTTCAGAGCACCCTTATTTCACAGGTAACAGCCTGTCGAAGAACACCCCCCTTGTTTTCATCAGTTTGGATTCACCCAACCCACTGGAGACCGACTGTAGACAGGAAGATTGAAGAGCGTCCATGTAAATCAACGTCCGGTGGTTTGCTGAATTCAATATTTGCGTTTAAGTGTTTTATTTATTTTGTGTTTTATTTATCTATTTAAGTTTTTAACGCTTTTTCACCTTTATTATATATTATTATGGTCTTATTGTTTTAGTCCTAGATCCACTGTTTCCTCATTTCTTTCAACTTAAATAGTGTTTCCTCAGTCATTTGTAGCAAGTTAAGGAGTCCTCACCTGGTCTTTTGTGTATGTATCTGTGTGTGTGTGTGTAAGTGTGTGAGTGCTGTATGTAATGAACAGGGGCTGGAAGGCTGGGTGAGGTTTGGCATTTGTATTTTCATTTATTTTATTTCATTGTTTTTAATATCCTGCTTGAATGGACAGCACTTTATGCGACATTACATGTATGAAAAGTGCTTTAAAAATAAAGTTTGATTGAAGTTTGATTAAGTGCCTTCTTGTGCTGGTATCAGTATATTTTCACCTAACCCTAACCCTGCCGACCAAGCCACGTCATCGCTCGCTCACAGAAGCGTTTGCCGTCAGAGTCAGAAAAATCGACCAAGAGTTTCTTTAGTTGATTACAGCCCTAGAACAGTGTTGTCAACAGATCAGACGCATAAAAGTGAAGTAAAAAGGAGAGGTTGAGCAGGAGAAGCCACTCTGAGACGAGGGCAGGTGCTTGTTTGTGTTGGAGAGTAAAAACACTGATAAGAAATTTCATCAAAAAAATGAAACCTGTGTTCTTTTCACACTCTTAATCAGTTCTCTGCAGTAAGATCAATCCCCGTGTGTCTTTGATCACGGAAAGGCCAAAACCTTGAGATAATTGTGCAGCCCTAGCAGACGGCCTTAATGGTGTGCTGTTGCCTGGACCTGATGAATACGGCTCAGCTCACACACGGTGGCTCTACAACAGGTTGAAAATTCAAAAACCAAACACCTATCTTCTGGTTTTGATCATGTTTTAATCATGACTCCACTCTTTCTGCAGCTGCTGTTTTCACCGCTACTTTAAACCCTGCACACCATCGGCTATAAGCTTTAATGATGGTAATAATGATAAGAGTCAGAGGAGACTGGCTGCTTTTGTCTTTTTTTTTTTTTTTATAATGAGACTCTTAAATATTTTAAAGCATAACTGATTTAAAGACATTCGGCTCTGGGGCTTCAAAGAAACAGTTTAGTGGGCTGTAAAACTTCAACCTAGAGGACTGTTTAAAAAAAAAAGGGCAGAGACAGTTTCAAAACATCAAAAATCCCTGATAATGCTTAGAGTTGGATACACAATCCACATCGAGTGTTACATCAGCCATCACACGAACAATATTTGACACTTGAACCTCACGGGGAAGATTAAGAAAGACTTGAAAGCTTTACGTGCAAAAAATGAGATTGAAATAACAAAAAAACATAGCTGCCATTACGTCCTTTATCTTAACAAAGCATGCATCCTCTCACCCATCAACACGACAACAGCTTTTCTGCTCTGTATACCCTTTGAGACGCCCCACACGCACAAACACATCAGCTGTTGATAATGAGGTGAGAGAAAAACATCGGTGTGATAAATTAGCACGCACGGCGAGTCCAGCTCAGACCCACCTTCCTGTAGCATCTCAGGTACGTCTGCCTGAAAGCGAGGTCCCACTCTGATCTCCCCTTTGTCGGCCAGGAGAGTTTTTTGTGTCGGGTCGTACACCAGCGAGTAGAAGAACGTATCCTGGTGGAAACACAAACCCGTTAGGCACGATATACGTAGGTGGAAACCTTAAATTTAATTTTCAGATCAGAAAACAAACGAAAATAACGTTGACACAGTTTTTCTTTGGACTGCTTCCAGTTTTTCTTCTCTTATGTGATGATTTAAAGTTAAAAAAATCTGATTATTATATCAAAAAATTACAAATTATCCTCAAAATGATAATTACAAAGTAAAATCAAGACTGAGAGTTATTGTTAGTTTCAGTTCTTGAGGTTTCTCGGAGTTGTTTGGACAAGAAAGGAATGAAAAAAAGACGAAGTCTGACCTAGACCTGCTTTGACACACAGGCAGCCTTCAGCATGCACAAACAAAGAGCTGACACCTTGTGTTTTCTTTTCTCTGACTCACCTCTTTGTCAAGGTATGAAAGAACGGCTTCAGTCTCATTCAATAAAGCCACACTGCACTTTCCCCTAACAGACAGAGAGACAGACAGAGAGACACAGAGAGGGAGGGAAAAAAATGATGCAAGTCACAAAGACAGGAAGTGAGCAGTGGTAGTTCTGTCTATTCATGGCTGGATGAGTGACTATCCATGGGCACTGCCTGCAGGTGATGAGAACTCGGGTCTAGAAGGTGTGTGTGTGTGTGTGTGTGTGTGTGTGTGTGTGTGTGTGTGTGTGTGTGTGTGTGTGTGTGTGTGTGTGTGTGTGTGTGTGTGTGTGTGTGAGAGTGACAAAGGATAAAGCCTGATGAAGCAATCTTGCTGGGGGGATTGCTAAAAAAAATGTTGCATTATGGATGGAAAACACAGCAGAGGAGGCAACAAAAGCCGGTCTCCTTTCTCAGACACACCCACCTCCATTAACTGACAACTTGTGTATGAGACACGACAAAGATTTTGAGCCTGATGTGAATTTATTTGCTGATCTTTCATGAGGAAATCTAACCTACGCAGTTGTTGGCAGTAGCTCAGCTTACAGACCCTCACCTGAAGCTTTAAGAGGCCCTGACTGGAAACTAGTGTCTACATTAACAAGTGTTTTAAGACCTCTGACTATTAATCACTTAAAAAAAAAAACTCACTTTGTCAGAGGTAGCCGAGCAGGACAACCTGTGGAGACAGTGAGTCTGCAGAGGAGGAGTTTAGCTGATTCTTCATATTTAACGACTTAATTCAGTTTTGCTGCAGGTTATAATGATTTATAATGTAAGATAAGAAGTGCAACAGGTGTTAAGGATCTGAAGTTTAATGTAATAAACCATCTGCAGGATTCCTACACAGCTGGAATTTCCATTCTTTTCCGTACCCCTACTTTTTAGGATTACTTTTGGAAATACCTACTTTTCTGTTTTACACCTGTGGTTATCGTCTAGAAATATTAATATTTTTCCATACTTTATTTTTCATTTTTCATACTTTTTGGGACCTGGAAATCAATCAACTTATTTCCATACTTGCGTAGGAACTAAAGCATGACACGGGAGCGGATTTTCACTCCTGTCCCGTCCCACTCCCAGAAAAAAAATCCCATCCCGTCCCAATCCCGGACTGGAGTAAAATAATTAATCCTGTCCTTTCCCACTCCTGTAGAATGACTCCCACTCCCATCCCGCTCCCACTTAAAATTACTCCCACTCCTGTCCCGCTCCCGTTGCATTTTTTATTTCAGAATTACTAAAAAATTTTAGGTAAAAGTGCAAGTCGCTTTTCACTTCCGGTGGTGACAGGAAGTCAAACCACTGTTGTAGTTCTTTTGTTTTGACTCTCACTGAGAGATGACTACAAAAATGGACGCATCTGTTCATCTGGTTGTTTAACACCGCTGAAAATGATCATCTATTAATGTTGTCCCCGCTCCTACCCGCTCCCTTTGCTTTTTTTCCCGTCCCGATCACAAGATTAATTAAAAAATGATTCCCATCCAGTGGGATTCCCACGGGAATCACGTGACCCACAGGAATTCCCAAAAAAAGTCATCCTCTAGTAGGAACCCTGCATCTGGTTGATCCTCAAACTGACAGTTTTTTCACACTCCCTTTGGCGACAATTAAAGACACTGATTAATATTGACGATTGGCATAACCCCAGGTCCTTGGGAGACTTCGTGCTGTACCTGATGTGTGTCGCAGGTAGACTCTCGTACTGCCGGGAGAGGAAGAGCTCTCTGTGGCGAAGCTGGTGTTTCTGTTTATCTGTTAGGTCTGTCTCTGTCGGATTCTCCTTCTCTTCTTCCAGCTCCTCTGCAGAAAGACAAAAACACAGGGCAGAGCTCCCATCAGGACTCGCTTTAAAAGAGACAGTGTTGCAGACAGTATAGATGTGCCGACTGAGAGTCGATGACACGAAAGAAGACTGTTCACTGTTGATGAATAAATAGACCGACTCATTATCAAAATCACGTGACCGTTTAATGTTTCACACCAAGATAAATCAAAGCTTCACAGTCGCAAAGTATTGCTCCCATCTTTCATTTGAGACACCCTGACTATTACACTTAGGGTTATTACTGGATATGTTATCTTAAGACGAGTGCATTCATCTATAAACACCGAATTAGCCGCAGCTGAGTCAGCACAGCGCATCAGATAAACATTTAAATCACTGTTGCTCTTCTCTGCAGGCAAACACTCCGATAAATCAAGACTCTCCTCAGAGTTTGTAACATCTTATGATTACATCGGTTGTTTTCAGGAGTGAGTACTGGCTCTTGTACGGCGTCAAACCCCTGCTGATATCCAGATATTCACGACACCTTCAGAGCAGGGATGGTGAGAGAGCTTCGGAAACCCCCTCCTCCCACACCTTTCTGTTATTAACACAACCTGACACTCACACGCCCACTTCACGCCATCGATTGCCGGCGATGTGGAGGTGTGACGACTAAAGGCGAGCTTTGAGTCTCTCCTTTTTGATTTTTTTTTTCCCCATTCTTAACAATCGATCTCTCCGTTTTTATGTGAATGACAGAGCAAACCATGAAGTCCTAGAGGAGAGACTAAAAAACACACAGGATTCAAACGCTGCATTTTCCAGTTTTCGCTCTTTCTGTCACTTTTCGGTGCACAGTAAAAACTTTAATCTACACCTTAAACCGTGGTGTGACAAGATTTAACCGAGTTTGTTTTCATAGTGTCAAACCCTCCAGGCCAGAGGCCAGCGTGTGTTTAAAGAGAAGTAGTTTGCACAAACAGTCCCAGGGCAGGAATAAACTGTTTTTGAATAGGCGGGGTGAAAAGTGCAAGTAATGGAAAGGATCCTCGACGGGGAATCAACTAAGTGCCAAATGTTGAATTCATCAGAAAATTGGTGTAAGGGACTTTTTAGGGGAGTATTGTCTTAATCCAACCTCTAAACAAAAAATATTTTCCTCTTTTATAACAGTGAACTGATTTCTCTGCAAGAGGAAGACATTTAAGGTAGGGCTGGGCGATAAAACCATTACGATACACATCGAAAATTAATTTCCCTCAGTATCAATATCAAACATGGTCAATATGCTTTTCAATAGCCAGCATTCTGTCATGTTCTAATAGACTATACGAATGGCCAATGAATAAGGGAGTTTGGGGTCAACTTCGCGCTGAACCAATCATGTGCTGAATTAGCACCAAGTAGCAAACAACTGAGTAGTAGCAGGATACAACTACACACAACCATAGCACTTTAACAAAACGGTGAAGATAAAACATCAAAGTAGGGCTGAAACAATTCCTCGAATACCTCGAGTACCTTGATTATAAATAATAATCGAGGAATCGTCTCTGCCTCGAGTTCTCGTTTATAAGCTCAAATCGTCACTGTTTCACACAGATTCTTTTGAAGGTGACACAATGCGCTTACGTCACCACGATAGAAGGAGGAGTAAGTGCTCTTTAGGTTTTGCAGAGCGGAAAAATAAATAATGCGAGGGGCTTTTCTTGCAGTGTTGCCAACCTAGCGACTTTCGCAACTTTTCAGACCCCCCAGGCGAATTATTATCAGAAAGCGCCTCGCTACAAATCTAGCGAATTTTTCCGGAGTTTAGAGACTCTAACATGTAAGCAGGTTTCATTAATACTCTTCTAAAACACAGACAGACACAGACAGACACCCCAAAGAACACCTTTCCACCTCCCTCCAATCCTCCGGGGTTTGACTGAGAAATTATGCAAATTAGGCGATGACGTCTTAGCGACTTCTAGCTACTTTTACGACAGCCACTAGTGACTTTCCTTACTGAGGAGTTAGCAACACTGTTTTCTTGTGCAGAGCTCCAGTAGTTCATTAGCACTTAGCCTTTTGAGTCGTTGGTCAAGACTGCGCTGCTCTGCACAATTCTCTTCACACTAGCTTGTAGCCTAACATTGCTGGTGTCGTAACAGAAGCAGGTAACATAGCAGCTATTTATCTCTCCGACACTAATGTCTTTGAGGACATGATGAAAGTTAACATCATAATTAGCTTTCTTACGAGCATTGTCCTCTATTTCTCCTAGTCTGGCCTTCATTGCTGGGGCTATAGGAAATCTAACTTTATGTGAGTCTGCCGTTTGGGTCCAATTAATCAAGTAATCGATAGAATATTCGGTGGAATACTTGATTACTAAAATATTCGATAGCTGCAGCTCTACATCGAAGAGACACAGAGGCCTCACAGATGCAGTAGCTTATTGTATTGCAAAAGACATGCTACCAATAAACGAATTGAATTTCAATTTTTATATCGTGATATATAACGATATCAAAAATTATGATGTGATAATTTTTTTCCCATATCGCCCAGCCCTAATTAGAGGACCCAGAAAAGGTAAAGGAGACTATTTTCTAACATTTCAAAGCTCTAGGTATTTAATTTAACAGGACAAAACAGTGAACACTGAGGTTTAAGACTATTTTTTAGGAGCGCTTGAGTCTGAAACCTCTGAATCATGACAGACAGAAACAGAGAGGAGAAAAGGTCAACCCCACGCCTGCTGTCTTATTTCAGGATGCAAAAGTAATCACGGTGTTAAGTGGGCATACGTTTGAAACTCCTGACAGGAAGATACAGTTTTGGACACAGCTGCTCTTCTTAAAAACTGAGACAGGTGGAAAAGTGAACTCCTGCTTTCAGGGGGTTCAGGACGCTGTATGCAAGTGTAATAAGCTCTGCGGCTGAAACAGCTTTTTTTTAACTTCCCTCTGTGGATGGATCAACATTTTTAGATGGCTGTTAATGCTCACATTTAGGTATGGGTGTAAACTGTATTGTCAATGTGACGGTATGAAACAATAGGTCTTCTGGGCAAAAAGTGTCGTTATGTTTTGGCAGCAGTGGAGCAGAGATAAAGGAGGAAATGGGAGCTGCAGAGACCATCACCCCTCTGCTCACTGCCTCGGCAAAAGAATGAGATGATTTAGAAATCGTGATACTTCGGGAGCTTTTAGATTTGGTGTGTGGCATTTTGGTTTCCCCGCGTACAGATATTAGAAAGAAGAAGAGGTGACGGTAAACAAAATTAAAAAAGACTGTGGAGACCTTCATGTCGGGTAATAAAAGTAAAATGAGAAACCACTTAGCAAATCGTCATTTTGAAAAGATTCAAGAGGACAAGGGGAAAAAAAAGCGAACACTTCCAGCCTCACTTTTATCCTGTAACACTGCAAGTTTTCACAAGATGTATCGCAGACTCTACGACCTGCAGACACTTTCTTTGGTCAGCAATGAGGGATTCAGAGGTTAGTAAACCCGATTAAACCGATGTTTAAATTCCAATCACAACCACACTTTAGTCAAACACCAATACCAGCTCTCTGCAAAGAGAGACAAAGGCTGAAGTTACACAGAGCCGGAGGAGAGCTGAGAGCATCTCACTCACCACAGATGAATGGATGGACTTCAAGAGCTATTCAGAGCTAGAGATGGAGCTTTTTTTTCAGAGTTTTCATCTTTCTGTTCCTGCATTAAATACATTATTGTGGACTTCTTACAGTAATATGATCACACTGTCAGATTCTGATACTATTATATCCCTGTATCCGAGTGTAAGATCATCTCTTTGTTTTGAATATTTGGTCCAGCTGTTCTTCGTTTTACTGAACAGAAGTAAAATGCTCCTTTATAGTTTTTGTTGACAGGCACAATTGCTAATTTTTTCACTGCTGTGGCTTTTTAATACTGAAATTCTCCACCAGCAAAACCACTAACAACTACAGGAAGATTATTGCCTATTTTTCGCTTTAGTTAATGACCATTTGCTAACTCACAGACCTGAACATGCCAAGGGGCTTTTTAGTGGTTGATAAAATGGATGCATCAAAGAGAAAACTGTCACAAACTCTGAGAAGAAATTTTAACTAACTTTAACTTTACGTATTGTCAAAGTAAAAACATCTGCATGGCCTAATCGAAAAGAGGTTACACTATTGAGATTAGGGCTGGGTGGTATGGCCTCAAATCAATGTCACGATATATTGAGCAGTTTCTTAACAGCGTCTTAAAAGGGACATGAGACCATAGCCTACCTACACACATCCAAAACCATCTTTTATTTCTTTATTTTTTTTACGCTGAATATACATATATGGGCAAAAAGACGTTGGTTATTGTCATAAATTTCAGTATCTGTAAATTTCCAGTTTATCGCCCAGCCCTACTTGAGATTAAGGTAAACTGACCGAAGCGATCTCCTGTTCTGTGCAGTGATTTGACTGAAAATTATCTGCATGACATGCGAGAGAAAGGGCTTGGGAAAAGCTCTACAGAGCGTGTCTCTATCATAAAGTTGAGTCCTTTTTCATCGGGTTTTCTTTCCCAGTAAGTGCTCTTAGAGACTCAGAAGTGCCGGTTTTGCTGAAGCGCTGTGAGCTGGAACATCCTTGACTAATCAAGGTGTTTTTTTTTTCCTGACAGCTGATAATTTCCGAGGATGTGATGGAGTTTTTTTTTTTCCAAATGCTCAATGGCACTAGTTGAAAAAGCAAATTCATGTGGCACTCGAGATTTTTGGGAGAGGGACATGAAAGAAGGTGTCCCTGCAGATGTATCATAATCAAATGTCAGATGAAAGTGCTTTCCCTCTTCATCAAAAAGGCAGCGTGGAGGTGCACTTGAAATTTTCTAACCTGGAAAAACACTCTGTCTGATCAGGGCCTTACAGCACCGCTGCTTTCTCTGAAATCCTCTGAAATCAGAATTTACTACTTATTAAAGCTCCAATAAAGAGTTTTATTGTCTTTTTAAATATACAGAAATTCATACTGATGCCTTTTTATGATAGCGAGACCTTTTAATGATTTTCATATTGTTGTTTTTAGTGACTGAAACAACTTAATTTTACAAAAATGTTCACATTCAATGACAAATTAAACTCTTAATAATCAGACTGAGATTTTTCTTCTCAAGCAGGTAGAGGACAAGTTATGCAAAGGCTGTTTTGCCCACAGGGGGGCGCCAGAACTTACACAAACTGAAAATTCCTCACAGGAGCTTTAAACATATTCATAGTTTTGGATCTCAACTTCTTCACTAACAGTTTGCTGAATCTGTTTTGATTTTCAGATGCATCAAAACAGAATTTTTGCTGCTTTTAGTCTTCCTCTTAAAATTTTCCCGGACATTTTCAGGATATGTGAGATTTCTTTTAGAGAGTGATAATGTCGTTATTCTTGTCTTTGTTTTGAACCAGCTGGTGGACGACTGTTTTCAAGTCTTGCGGGGATGGTAGCGTGTGTCAATGAATGCATATGTCCCTGCATATTGTTTGGTTTTGTTTTTTTGGCTTGAGACGGCTGCCTGTTTACAGAGTCAAGCCAAATGAGAAAAACTGGTTCTCCACAAACGGTCTCTCTTCACAGAGGGTAGTATTTAGTCACACAATACATTCCTGTTGTTCCGTCAGAGCTGACTCTAAATCATACAGACTGTCTGACCCAGCATCTCCTTAGAGTTCAGGATTTTAATTTACAGAAAGTCATGTTTTTGTTTTTTTTATTTGTGACCAAAGGAAAAAGTGAAGCATCTCTGGAAACGATTAAAAAGCCTCCCACACTGAGCAGGTGTTGATGTGATAAAACACGTTTTCCTCTCCTCCTTTCATCTAAAAATCACCACAATCGCACTCAAATCCTCTGCTTCCTGCTGAAAAGTCATCTACAAACACACGCGGAGTTTTCAGGGATGTGATTGGCATTGAAACAAACACACACTGGCATACATTTTCTCATCAAATGTAAGTTTTTAGGTTATGTGAAACTCCATACAGGGAGAGACACAGAAAGAGAGAGAGAGTAGGTTTGATTTCTCACAGCTCTATCTAGTTCGTAGAGGACTGGATCATTCATCTTCATGTGACACCTCAACAAAAAACTTGTAAGTCTGAATCTGCACGTCCGGAGCGACTACTCACTTGCATGTTTGTCTGCGAGCTGGATGAGGCTGTGGGAAATGTCTCGCCTCCTGTAGAAACACACCACCTTGGCCTCCACATTCCCGCTGGCCGTCTATAACAAAAAGAGAGAGAGAGATCCGGGTTGACTGACAGAGCTGGTAGCACCTTCCTGTACAAGCCTCTGATTTCCCAAGAGACCTTGCTCCTTTGCGCGCTCATCAAGCCATGCTGCTATGACAAGCTGACCAGGCCAGCAACAGAGCTTTTGATCAGATGATTGATTGATTGTCTGCTGGTGTAATTACACAGACAGGCTTAAAGACTTAAGCAGCGGTAAATGTCATGACCGACGGAGAGTGAAAGGGTGAAATGACAAGGTGGGGTGGGGGTGGAGGGTTATAACCACTTTCAACGTCTTCTGCTCTTCCGGGGAAACTGTAGCTTGGAACATATATATTAACCTGACAGGTATGGAGGAAATAACAGGAACGCCTCACACAACATTAGAAAACCTTCATAGAGCTGTTGCAAGTTTATGAAATGGTTCTCATCCACACGGCTTTATATGATCACGTCACTGTTGATGTGTTTCTACCCAGTTCTGACTAGGGTTGATCATGAACGATTCCGGGTTTGATTCCGATCAGTGTTGTTTTCGTTTACAAAAATATTTTGTCGACAGCACTTTTTTCCACGACGAAGATATGATGTTGACGAGCTAAGCGCAAGTCTTAGATGACTAAAATGTGACGAGACGAATGTGCGTTAACGTTGACGAGACGAGACTGTGTAGAAAGAAAAACGAGTCCTGACCGACACTGTTGCTCGTTGATCATCCAATCAAATCAGATAAACCTCCTCTTATGTGCTGTGAAGTCTGCAAATATTTATTGCTGCATTCTCACTTTGGCTCACTGACTTTGCAGTTGTTTGCTTTTCACCTGAGCAACACAACCCGAGACTTTACGGACATTTTCAGGAGTTTTTCAGGACAATTTAGCATTTAAACAGTTCAAACTAAAAAACTTTCAGGTCTTGGTTTTCACGTGCCCTTTTTTTTAATCCTGAGTATTTTTTCCTGCAACCCATCAGCCATCTGTGGAGCAGGCAATCTGTTCCTCCATTACTCCAGCACACACATAATCCTAGTGGACATGAGTGCTGCGTTTTTGCATTTTCAGGTGTTTTAGTTTAAATGGATGTCATACCTGAATATGCTGTTAAAAGACTACTCTGGCTGGAGATGGGTTTCGTTTCAATAACGGAATTTCAAATGAGAGATTTTAAGTATAGCCTCGTTATATAAACGTTATTTCTTGTACAGAAAACTGTTTTTTATTGCATCATGCAGTAGGGAGCTCCTGTTTAGTGTTTGTGTCCTCCCCGTTAAGCACTGATCAATATTACAACTTCTAAATGTACGGCCTCAAATGTCGTTTTCTCTGAGTGACCTGATCTGACACTCCTCCACCCACATCATTTGATAATAACATGCATTTATCGCAGTATCGAAGTGTAAATGGAAACCAGGGCGAGCTCCTCTCACAGACTTTGTCGGTGCTTTTCTTGTATTTAAATGTGAAGTTTAGTTTTCTGTCTGTTCTGATCGAAAACACTGTTAGGAAATTACTTCAAAAAAAGGTGACTCTACAACTGTTCAAATATTGGCTGAAAAGGAAAAAAAACACGAAGCCAGGTTCCTTTCAGAGCTGGTATTAACTGATCTTTAGTCATAAGCTATCTGAGCTCCAGAGGAGTTCATTACAATAACGCACTCCGCCTACGCACGCACGCACACACACATACGCAGGCGTGTCCTGTGATACCAACGGCAGTTAAGAGGAGACAAGGGAACACCTGTCACTTTCATCATATTACAAACACATCCAGTCACAAACATCGCGGCAAAGAAACAGGGAGGTGGGGGGAAGGGACGGAGAGGAATCCTAGCTATTTGACCCCGGGCATGAAAAAGACACAAACACAGACACACACACGCAAAATGACACAAACAACTCGATACCTTGTTGAGTTCTTCTATCCGGCGGATCAGGTAAGGGTTACTGGAGGAGTTCTCGAAAAATACATAATCTGAAAGAGGAAACAAACACTGTATCAGATTCACTGTCAGTTCATTACGATCACCTGTGAAACCAAAATGGATGTTAATGAAACAACTCAGCAGTGAAGTTAACCTAAACAAACATGGTTACGTGCAAAAGTGTTTGTTGATACTGTAGTTGGTTGTTATGTCAGTACAGACCCAAATATATAGAGGTTTTTCCATCAATTTTAGCACATTTATCATGAGATGGAGTTCGTCTACTGCGGCTTTCCTAGTACCTTCAAAAAGTGGCTTGAGGCAGAAACTAGGTCCTGTATATTTGTGTGACATGCTGCTTCATCAAAGTTTTCAGAGCTTTAATATCAGAAAAAAACCGCTTCCACAATCGCCAATGTTTCACGCACACATCCGATGTAATATGTGTACACTCTGGGACATGTATCATCGAAAAAACAAAGAAAATAAAGCGCGGTCAACAAAATTTACGGCTACCTAGGCTCACCTCTCCACCCCAGTGCAGGTAAGACTTCCCCTTATATAACTAACCAGCTTTCAAACTTGGTGCCAACATGACCCAAACCCAGGGAAACCAAAAGCAACCAGACAGAAGTAACTGAACACAGGATGACCGATAAGCAAAGCGACATTATGGCTCCTACATTGTCTAAATCTGTTAAAAACCTCTTTTCACTAAAGTTAAGAATTTTAAATATATTTTTTAATATTCACCAATAATTCAGATCGAGAACTAGAATACTCTCTGTATTATACATTAAACCAAACCAGCTCACAGAGTTTCTCTACTAGATCCAGGTGATTGATCCGGTTTTAATTACGATTATAGCTCCACATACTATTATAAAAATATGATAATGGAGACTAAACGTTTACTGAGACATCTTTAAGTTAATTAAAGTGCATCCTCCCCTGAAACAGCTCTTATTTAAACCTTCATAAAAGCAGCTCGGATCAAAGTAAAAAAGGTTTCGAAGTGACGCTGAATTTTTCAACACGTTGAGGATTAGAGGTGCAAACTATCATGCACCCACAGGTGGAGAGAGGAGAGCAAGGAGAGGAGCAGGAGGAAATGTGTGTATATGTGTGTGCCTGAAAAACTGAGGGACACAAACGTGATGAGTTAACAACTGCAGGGGCTAAAAAAGTGAGAGACATCGTTCTGAATCAAAATAAAACGCACCCATAAGTCTTTATGTTATAAATCAGTGGTTCTCAACTGGTGGGTCACGGACACGTTCTGGATAGGTCACAAACAGCTGGTCAAAATAGTAATTATTTAATGCGATATCTATTAGATATTTTCTGTATATGCAACTTCAGTAGTTGTCATCCTCTTCATGTGCTCTGAAATGCACTGTACTCAATAAAACAAGCAGATTTATACTAAAGATTAGAGTCTTTTCAAGGTCTTTCAAGGTCCTTCAACAGTTTATGCCATGGTGTAAAAGTAATCCACTACAATTAAAATCCAGCATTTGATTTACTGAATATTATCACCAAAATTAAGCCAAAGCTCTTCAAGGTAAATGAGGAAGTGTAAATGGTCCTTTTCATACAAGTCTTTTCTATAATATCATCCAGTTTGTCAGACAGTCATGCTTTGGTAATAAGGTCAGCCAACTGGTTATTTTCACCACTTATTGTGTTTTTCAAGTAAGAGTTTGAAGTTACTCAAATGTGTGAGATGGAGATGTAAAAACGTGAGTTATTCCTCTCAGTTATTGTTTTTTATCAATATCAGTCAAAATAATCATGATTATGATATTCCCCATTATGGAGGTGTTCTATCTCCACAGCTGTAGCAAGTCTCAGTTCACCAAAGCTAATGCTGACACTGTTGGATATCACTGTATTCTACTTGTGCTTAATGAATCGTAGATTGTCAAACTAGGCTTTTCATGATAGCCCACGGTTACAATCGAGCTTGTTACAGAGCACATTCATGTCACTTAACTGATCAAAATGCCTTCAAATGACACTCATTGGGAGGTGGTTTGGCCCAGCTGGTCTCCAACAGTCCTCATCACATTGGTTTTAGGATCATTTCCTAGTTCTGACATGATGTGGAGTGCGTCCTACCCACTTTCTCTATTTGTTAGACTGGCTAATCCAATTAAGGCCAAAAACCCATCAAAAATCATCATCATTAAAACTAAAAACTTAATCAAGAGTTTCTGCAGATGTCTTGTTTTGGATTACATTCAATTGTATAAAACATCCAGAGAGTGAATATCCATCAATGTAACATATTTAGTCAAAGCGAAAGGGACAGGAAAGAGCCGGATTAAGATCTTCCTCATGGCTCGGTTAACCAAACACTCGAGGCAGTTTACATTCGTCATGAAAGTCTCAACAATCAACAACTGTCACATAAAGAGGATGTGGTTAAAAGGACATAACTGTATATCATAACCATGGACATTAACAGTATCAGATTCCAAGGCAAAGCAAAGACAACTACATGTTTACTGCTTTATTTTCAAAGTCTGCGACACACTAACGGCACTGTTATGCAAGAAAAGATAAATAGGAATATTTCTAATGGTAAGTTTTCTACTGCTCATCAACAAAACCTGAACAAACAAGACTTCACCCAGCCTGAGGACACGGAGATCCAGCTTAGATCAACACACACAGAGGAATATACAGCATATGAAAACTCTGAGTGCAGTCTCAAATTTTGCAATAAATGTTTTCTGCAAAAAGGTAAATATGTCAGACTGAGGTGTATCCAGTCAACTATTTTTCTGCCTCTGGGCTCCAAGCATGTGATCCATGATTGTGGGATTGTAAAAGCACAAACTCCACGCTGTTGTGAATGTGCTTTTCTTTCAAATTGCTAGTTTGTTGCTGCACTATCTGGAGATTAAAATCATAATTTTCTGGCAAACAGAGTTGTCACTGTGGCAGGCCAGGCCGTGGCCGTGGCTGTGGCCCAATTCAGGGGCAGCATCCTTGTAAGGCCACACATTTAGACAAGTCATATCACAGTGGCGAGTCAAAGACAGTCTGATTTCAATAAATGCGTTATCCTGGGCTTTGGAGGATGCATCAGGTGCTTAAAACTCAGCCGAACAATTCAAGCTAGATGTAGACTCTCAAACAACTGAGTTATTTGCTAATAGTACCTACTAGTCTTCTGTTTTCAACCTAACAGAGACCTGTGACACCAACAGGAAGTCCTCTTTAAAACATCTCAATCCAGTTCAGCCTGAGCGGTCTGTGCAGGCTACAAACGCCGGGTCCTTCTAAGGATGCAGCCCCTGAACTGGGACATAGGTCATGACATGTCATGCTGCCATTACCCTCACTAATCAGTTCAATCCAGCGTGTTTTCATGCAGAGTGAAGCCAAGCTATCACTAAAGACAATTCAACTGGACTGCATCAGTGCATAAACAAGAAAGCAAAAGGCTAACTGGCTAACACAGGTAACCAGATACAACAGCATCATCATTTTTTTTTTACTCCCCTTCCTCTTCCTCCTTTGATGAGGTTTTGTTTGCAGCCTCGCTTACTTTAACACATCTTTACTGTTAGTTTTCCGGGTCAAAGCTCAGTGTGCACACTGTGGAGCATGTGCAGACAGCTTATGTCAGTTTGGGGTCAAATGAGGTGCACACATGCAGGAGAAAATCAACCTCCACTCACATTATTGAGGTAGTCTGCAAGAAATTCAACTGAGTGTGATTTACAAATAGTTCTGTTTCACTCATACCAAGGCAACAGGTACATTTTTTGGTTAAAATCATGCAAACATGCTGGGTTGAGATGTAAAAGAAACAGCTTCAATGAGCTCTCTATCATGGGAAAACAGACGAAATCAAACATATGGATGTATGTCCTCATGGGATTTGTCTACAGATGACTTAGTGCTGGGCGATAAAACGATAACGATACATATCGAAAATTAATTTCCCTCTATATCAATATAAAACACGGTCGATATGCTTATTTGATAGACGGCATTAAAAAGGAGAGAAGGGCGTCCTCCAGGATTAAGATGGGTTTAGAGCAGCAAGGTGTATGGTGTGTGTTCACGCAATATAGCACCCAACTTAGATAGTGAAACATCATAAAACTTCTGGTATTTACACACAATAAACCCGGACGTGAAGGTGACTGTACGGTAAAAACAGGTAAGAGGAAATTTACGAACTATCCTCTGCTGCATGAGGAGGAAAACTAAACTTTGGCAGCTGTGGCTTCTCACACACAGGTGCGGTGCATTCAATCGTGTCAGAACTGAGCTGTATTTACTTGAAAACACCTAAATAACACGGGCTTTCTAACAGGCATTTGGCCATGTCTCTTTCGCAACGCCTTACGACAAAACGTCAAAGAGACAAAAAGACTTCACAGATGCAGTAGCTAATTGTACTGCAAAAGACAAGCCACCAATAAGCACTGTTAAATGTATTTTTTTATAGACGGGTTTTTCATTACAACCCTGCTCCTGATATAAGAAACATCTAACACAACGTCACAACCTGGTAAGCTGAGTGAAACTCATGGATCCACCACTGTAGACCTGTGCTCTACAGGTCCTTACACACCGGGGCCGACACGAATAAAGAACGCGAAAGTATGAAATATTTGGAGGCGAATTTGGACGGGCCTGACTATACACATCAAGCCAGATGCGATTTTGGGACTATCTGGGGGAAAAAGATGCATCCTGGGGAAGACTTGTTGTGAGTCATCAAGGAGCGAATCAAAGGTAACATTTAAGCTTATACACGGTCTGTATAGCGAGTAGCGTGTGTAACGTCAGGTGAATGTAATGGCGTAGCTCCTCGAGTGGCAAGAGAGTGGGGATAACAACGACCCCCCCACCCCCCAACACACACACAGACCCACCTCCACAGCTGCAAAAATTTTTAGGGGAAACACTGAACAGTGGCAAAAATATAACATTAGTACAAACATTGACTTATATTAAAGAAATATATTGTGATAAACTTTTTCCCATATCGCCCAGCCCTAAAAGGACTATAATTATAACAGACTATTAATTCTTGAGGGATGTTTTATGTAGGACTTTACAGAGAGCACTTGAAGGCAGCAGGGGAGCTCCAGATAAGGTGACCATATGGACAATAGTCAAACACATTATAGTGAAAAACAGTGGCAAAAATATATAACCTGGGTGCAGACTTTCCTAAGTTATTCCTGTGACTAGTCAAGCACTTGTGCAGTTTAAGCCTATTGGGAGTCTGGTCTGAGTGTAGATTTTAAGTATGTGTTAATAGAGGTGTTAATCCAACCTGACGCAACGACGCCATGAATCGAGACCATTATTTGGTGTAAATTCCAGCAGACAGCTAACAACTTAGCCAGCCAGAGGAGCCAATCGGCTTATTAATAACATTTGAGGTGAATTCCAGCGATGGATGAGAGAATACGAGGCGTTTGGGGGTTTCTCAGTGTGGCTGGATGATGGTGTAGACGAGCGCTACAGCTGCATTAATGCTAATGAGTGAGGCCGTTGCTGTTGCTAACGTTAGCTAAATAAGGACTCGTACTAATGGCTGCATGCCAGAAGAGGCAAATACAAAGGCAGCCTCAGACTGCCCGTGGTAACGTTTAAGTTACCTTTAAAAACGCGTGTCTAGTCAAGAAAGTCCCACAGCGATTCAGTTTTCCGCCTCTCGAGTGTTAGTGAGCGAAAACAAAAGCAAAACAAAAGGGAAGACAATAGAGAAAAAAATGTTTACATTGAGAGCTAGCTATTTAGCAAGCTGGCGGCTAGCTGCTGTGGCCACGACAGACGCAAGGCCTGACCCATTTTGAATCCCCAAATATTTAGAAATTATCACCTCCCTGCTACAACTTGATGCACCTCAGTGAGTGTGGCACACTCGTATCTCGATATAGGATGCAAACAAACTACAATAAAGCTTCACGAACCTCCAGGGATGCAAAACCCGGGGGGTTTCAGTTTGATAAAAAAGATCCACATTGACATACATACCTCCGACCCGGTACATATTGGCCGCCATTTCTGCCCTCCCGGAGTGTAAACCATAAACTAAGAGGAATAGAATAAATTAATAAAAACTATAAAACTCTGTCTCTTAAAAGGTAAAAGCTGCGATAAATTAGGATCGTCGAGACTCCGGATGGCGAGTCCAATCGGGATTTTTTTTTTTTTTTTTTTTTTGCTGATCGACCCCCCCTCCTCCTCGGATCCACTGTTCCCTTTACAATACAGTGAACTCACGGCAGCAGCCAAAAGAAGTCGGATCAACCCGAAAAACCACCGACTGCTGACGTCGGAGCGGAGGGCCGCGCACGCGCAAACACAGCCGAAGAGAGACACACGCGCGCGCGACTACGACGTACGCGCGCAGGTAGGACCACCGTTACCTGGAAAATACCTGAGACTACTAAAGTTTATGGAAACAGACGGAGAGTATTAATACATGCAAACATACGAGTCCATTAAACACTGTGCCAGTAGTTTTTGCATTTCAAAATAAAAGTCTCCCAAACTCCAAAATAAGATACTTTTCATCTTAAGATTGCAACACAGGAAACAGGCAGTTGTGTTTAACACTTCAACACTTCAACACTATCCCTAAAATCAGTAACACCATCACTATCGCCAGGTGATTTTCACCCGAAATAATATACCCAAGAGAAAGAACATCAAAATAGGACAAAACAGGACTAATTAAAGTAGTTTTCTTTTATTTTTAACTGTGCAATGTCCAAAGGGAGGGAAAAAAGAACCATGAAGGGACCATATAAAAATGTGATTCATCATTACATGACCTGTTGTTGTTGTTTTAATGTTGCTGCTGTCCCCTGTCTCTCTCTCTCACCCTCGTTCTCTACTCTCTCTCCCTCCCCCTTACTCATTCTCTCTCTCCTTCCCTCTATCTTGTTCTCTTTCTCTCACCCTGCCCTCTCTCCACTTCTCTCTCTCTCTCTCTGTCTCTCCCCCTATCTCTCTTACCTTAGCGAGGTAACTTCGAGGGTAAGTTCGGGGTTTCCTGTTCTACGATGCGGGTTCACTTCTTAGCGCGGCGAGTCTCCATGGCAACATACGCTGAACAGCTAACCTGCTCACTGACCAATGAGCTCTCTCGAAAAAAGGCTTGTCCGTTCTTGGAGGGTCCTACAGACCTCGGTGCTGGCATTGTCCAAGGAGCACTCCGGCATGAGAGTTTTCAGGGACCGCACGGACCCACTTACTTTTCCGGATGACCACTTTTATGAAAGGATCATATGGCCTAAATATCACACAAAAAATGTAAACACGATAGGAATGAACAAATGAATGAATTCATCTTGGAAGTGAATTAGACATGTCTGGTGCATGTTAAAGCGCATGTTGAACAGCGCTATTTCAGGGTGATAATGGCATCAAAGATTTATGGCGCACTATATTTACGCGTTGAGAATGTCGGCAATTTTCTGCCAGCTTTCCTTCTGTGCTTTTGCAACGGCGACGGTGTTGCTTTTGAGGTTTATGATAGATTTGAATTCTTCACACTTTCTCATGATCGTCTCCTGCTCCTCGTTTGTGAAGTACGCGGTCCTTCGCTCTCTGGCCTGCTCTGACGCTCCAGACTTGTCCATGTTCACGATTGGTCAGATGTGGTGGGCTCTGCCTTACATGCATGCACACGCTTATAGCAAAGCTGGATCCACTTACGAGGTTGATAACCAGCGTCGTTAGACCGTTTAGCGAGACCGCTGGCTACCACGCTAAGTTGAGCGAGGTAGCTCCAAGACTACCTCACTAGGTTGAACTTGCCTTGTAGAATAGGCCCCTGGTGGCTGTCTAGCATGAGTCTGGTCCTACCCAAGGTTTCTGCCTGTTAAAAGTTTTTCCTTGCCACTGTTACTCATGTTAGATGAAATCCCAAATCCCATTTTAGGTTGGGCCTTGATAATTCATCAAACAATGAGTATGGTCTAGACCTGCTCTTGGTCTTTGGAAAGTATCTTGGGATGACGACTGTTGTGAATTGGTGCTACATAAAAAAAATTTGATTGATTGATAAAAATGCAACAAAATGACTGAAATTAGGCATTCATGAACAAAAAATTCTTATATATATAAAACTCTTCTCTCGCCCACCCTGGGCGGTATTGTGTCTCTTCAAGCTGAGGCCCTCTACCAAAGGCCTGGGAGCTTGAGGGTCCTGTGCAGTATCCTTGCTGTTCCTTGCACTCTTCTGGAGTGAGATGTCTGATGTTTCCCCAGGGATCAGTGGAAGCTACTTCTCCAGTGTGGGGGTTACTGCCTCAAGTGCCCCGATGACCACAGGCGCCACTGTTGCCTTCACCTTCCAGGCTCTCTCTAGCTCCTCTTTGAGCCTTTGGTACTTCTCTAGTTTCTCCTGTTCCTCCTATCTGATGTTGGTATCGCTTGGGATGGCAACATCTACCACAACGGCTTTCCTCTGCTATTTGTCTACGATTACAATGTCCGGTTGGTTGGCCATTACCATTTTGTTGGTCTGTATCTGGAAGTCCCACAGGAGATATGTATCCGCTGGGGAGGAACCATTAAACACAAAGATGCAAGACGTCTGACCAAACTGGTGAAAAAGGCTGGCTCTGTGGTTGGATTCAAGCTGGACTCAGTGGAGGATGTGGTGGAGAGATCTACACTGAGGAAGGTGGAGACTATTCTCAAGAACATGGATCACCCACTTCAGAACACCTTAAAGGGCCAATGGTGGTGGACGGCTCCTCTCTCTTCACTGCAGGACAGAAAGATTCAGAAGATCTTTTCTACCAACAGTTATCAGACTGTACAACTCTTCTGTGAATAGTCGATGACTTTTAGAGACGGACAATTGAATTTCCCTTTGGGGATTAATAAAGTTCTTCTTCTTATTATTCTTTTCCACCCATTTCTGGGGCATTGGCACAATAACAGCACTCAGGATCCTTGGCACAATAACATTTGCAGGAGAGAGAACCAAAATATGGCATATTTTGAGTGAGTAAAAATGACCAGCTGACTAAAATATTTATGAATTACCTTAAAAATCACTACTTTGTAATAGTTATTCATAACCACTGCGCTAAATAAAGATAGCATGCAATTCCAGGACCACTCTTACTGACCTTATTCCCTACATGCAGCTATCAAATCCACCCAAACCTACTAACCTTCTATCACTATTGCATTATTGGATATTAAAAACAAGAAAAATTAATAAAAATACAAATACCAAACCCCACCTACCCTCCCATCCCCCATTCAACACATTTAGCACCCACACACAGATGCACACTCAAAAGACCAAGTAAGGACTCTTCAACTTGCCACAGATGACAGAGGAAACGCTATCTTGAGTTAAAAAGGATAAGGAAACACAGGATCTAGGAGTAAAATGATAAAACCAAGATAGAATATATTAAAAGGTGATAAAGCGTTAAATTAAATAAAACTGTCAAAACAGTCCAATAATAAAAGAAAGTACATTTAAAGGAGGTAATAAAACACAAAATAGTTACTCCAGGACTAAAATAGTGTAAAATCACCTAACGTAGATTAAAAGATTAAAACAAATTCAGCTAAAAACCTGACTAAAAATGTAGGACTTGAGTTAAAAATATGAACAAAGCTTGAAAGAGTTGTTACAGGCTACTCATTGTATTCGTTTTGGTGATGGTTTTCAATGTTCTTACTCATTTTTACTCTTGCATTTACCCAGTTGTGTTGTTTCCTGGAGACAGCAATACTTCAGGAGGTTAATGTGTGTAAATGGCACACAATGGATTACTGGAGTTTTTGTCTCTCCGTGCGTGCGTCCGTGCGCGCGCCCATGTGACATCATTGATGGGATTGGCTCCCCTGACTGGGGTGGATAGCCTCCTCTACAGGCTACAGAGGGAGAAGAAGAGGAGTGAGGGACAGAAGGAATATAGTTTCCACCAGCCACGGAGCTCAGCGCAGGGTGGGAACCCAAACCCAGAGAGAACCACGCCCTGGGGGACACAGGAGGAGACTGTGGCGCCCCAAGTCTCCAAACTCCTGATATGGAAGGGGGAGTGGACGGGGAAGAGGAGATTTGACTTTGGTAACAGGTTGGAAAGATGAAGTTCGGGAAGAGCATCTGCGTGCTCAATGTAGGGGGGACCCGATACGCCTTCACCCGTGATGTGATCAGGGATTTCCCTCTCCGGCGCGTCAGCCGCCTCCATGCATGCGCAACTGAGAAAGAGGTCCTTGAACTGTGCGACGACTACGACCGGGACCGGAATGAGTTTTTCTTCGACCGCCACGCGCAGGCTTTCGTGTTCATCATGCTGTACGTGCGCTCCGGTAAACTCCGCTTTGTCCCCGGAGTGTGTGAGCTGTCTTTCTACACCGAGATGCTCTACTGGGGACTGGAGAGCGCGCACTTGGACCCCTGCTGCCAGAAACGCTTGGATGACAGGATGTCCGAGATTGGACTGGACACTCTGTCTGAGGGGGACATCCTCGTGTCAGGGGAAGAGCCTCAGAGCCCGGCGGAACCGGTGCAACGGACTGTGCTCACGGGACGCGCGAAATGGCTCGAGATGATGCGCAAAGCATTCGAGGAGCCAAACTCTTCGCTTTTGGCGCAGCTTTTGGCGTCAGTGTCCGTGATTTTTGTGATCGTCTCTATGATCATGCTGTGCGCAAGCACTCTGCCGGACTGGGACACAGCTAAGAAAACTACCGTGGAGGAGCACAGGTAGGAGAAAGTCTGGATGATCTCAGATGGAAGCTGCTACTCATCTGAAGGCGCAGATTATCAGCAAAAAAGTTCACTTTGCCCCAAAAATACAGCGCGTAAAAGTCAGCGTTGGCCTGTGATATGGGCGCAACCATCACAATCATGCCAAGGAAGGGTTTCTATCATGATCAAGGATTCATAAATAATAAATGCACTGGAGAGAGTGCCTGTATGTGTTCAAGGCAGCGGTCAAACTCATTCGCCCAATCCATTTATCATCAAGAAGGTTGATGCTGAGAGGCATGAATCCAATTTCAGCTTGTGACTCCTCTCATGTTATAGCCCCTTTCCTGTGTTTGGAAAAGAAAAAAAGGTAAAAAAGAGCCATAAAAACTTAAAATCACTTGAAAAAAAATACCATGTCCAATTTTAGCCTAGATAGATAGATAGATATACTTATTGATCCCAAACTGGGAAATTCACATGAATTTTATTACTCACTGCAATAAAAAGTTTTACTTTTAACACATTTTTTAAAAAGAGCACTTTGCTACATTTTACAAAGAATCAGTTAAAAATTAATAAAATAATCACTAAAACATTGAAGCTTTCCAGTAACTGCATGACTGCCAGCTGATTGGATAGTGCCAGTAACAATTGGATTTGTCTCCCTTCGAGTAAAAATATTTCATCACACTTAATCAAGACTACTCCAAAAAATCAATATTATTTCAAGCTGACATGTTCTTAAGTTCCTTGAATATGTATGGCATGTACATTTTGCTTGCTGTGTTTTGCAGACATCCTTAGTCATCACTGCAAACTCAGCCCTTATTTTTGTCTTACAACAAGCCTTCATGCACAGCCAGTGATAATTTAAGTGTGCAGGGACCGTCTACGAAGAGTAATCTTGATAAAAGATGCAGCAAAATGTTCAAAAAGTTCTCCCTGCAGAGTCAAAATATCACTTCATGCATCAATGCTGCTGGTTATATTACAACAGTTAGTAATCTTAGTTGAGTTACAACTAAAACTCAGTATATGAAATAAAATAAACCACATTTTTTCTTTTACTTAAGTGGATTAACAGACAGGTAGTTCTACTTCTCCTTAAGCAAAGTGTCATTTAAGTATTTGTAGTCTATCTTAATACTCTTTCTGCCCCTGTTTAAATCATTAAACTAAAATGATTATTCAGTCAAAGGTACTTCGTCCTTCTCTTAAGTGATTTGATGCCCTTTTTGTCAATACAGCACTGTGACAAGAACTAGGTCGCACTGAATGTTAGGATCCTCTTACATCAGATGAAAAAGCAAAGAAAACAAATCAATAGCAAATCAATATTATTCACAGTGTGGCGTGTGTGAAGTGTGGCGTTAATTATTAAACAGGCACTGCTCCATGTCTCCTGACCCTCCCCCTCACTCGTCTTTATTAATTCGAAAGTCTTTATTAGTATGGGTAGTTATTTGACTGTACACAAGAAGGGCAAATAAAACAGATTAGGGCCTGTGCTATTATGTTCCTCTGGGTGATAGGATGAAAGGGGACAGTTTACAGAGGGATTATATATCAGTGTAAGCAAACAAAAAGCAATTTAGCCTCTTAGAGGGATCACCTTTTACATAAGTCAGCAGTTGCGGTGTTAGTTTGGCTCCTGTTTTTGGACTTTAGGTGAAAAGGTCCACCTTTTTTTTTCTTTGCTGGAGTTTTCCCTCCTCTTCAGTGAGCCTGCAGGCGGCCTTCATCTATAAAAGGCAAGGTTGTTTTCACTCAGGACATAGTTTTGGATCTGTTTCAGTGGTTGGGTAATAGGCTGGAAGTGGAGTTGACAGTCGGGGTCAAAAGGATTCCAATTTAGCTGAACGTCGGTTGATGATGAGGGTCACTCTGTTGCTCTGTAATTTGGTTGGGTTTAATTGTGCTGATGTGGCTGTCCTTAGGCTCTGCTATTTGCTTGACCTGCGTGCTCCTACATCAAATACGAGCATCACGTTGCTTTAGATTGCTTTTGCCGTGCAAATCAATGGATAATTGCGAGCTTGTTTCCTTCACAGTCTCTCTGTAGAGGATTTAAATCCGTCCTTCTGCGCAGATGTTCAGTGTTTTCTCTTACTGTATGTCTTTGTTGATACTTATTTCAACTCTGAATTGCATCAGATGTCCTCCTTATTCACAACAATTTACTTAACAGCAGTCCTGCTTTGCTTCCTCCTTCCTCGCATGCTCTGATGGTCAAACAGCATCTTATATCATCCTTATCGCTCCTCTGGTGTTTCCTGTTTACAGTCTGTTCCTCTCATTTTCTCCTCTGCAGGATAGTGGAGGCCGTGTGCATCGGCTGGTTCACAGCAGAGTGCATTGTGCGCTTCCTGGTGGCCAGAGACAAATGGGACTTCCTCCGTCGGCCGCTGAACATCATTGATGTCATCGCCATCACCCCGTACTATGTCACCATGGCACTGGCCCGCGCGGGGATGCCTGGTGCGGGCCTCGGGGTCGCCGGCATCATCTTGCGGGTGTTGAGGATGATGCGTGTGTTCTGGCTCATGAAACTGGCGAGGCACTTCCTCGGTCTGCAGACTCTGGGGCTGACGCTAAGGCGCTGTTACCGAGAAATGGTGATGCTGATGGTGTTTGTGTGCGTTGCCATGGCGATATACAGCGCCCTGGCTCAGCTGCTGGAGCACGGCTTGGACTTGGGAGTGCAGAACCAGGATTATGCAAGCATTCCGGCAGCTGCCTGGTGGGTCATCATCTCTATGACCACAGTGGGGTACGGGGATGTGTACCCGGTGACTGTAGGGGGGCGGGTTCTCGGGGGAATGTGTGTGGTGAGCGGGATCGTTCTCCTGGCGCTGCCGATCACATTTATCTACCACAGTTTTGTACAGTGTTACCATGAACTCAAACTTCGCTCTGCCAGATGCGCACGCAGCCTTTCCTCAGAGGCTCTGCAGTGAAAACACATTTTCCCCCAGACTTTGACAGCATTGTGTCTAACAGGCAGGGGTGTGTCCAGACTTTCCTGGCTTGGGTGGTCTAACTGGGGGCCTGGCTTATTTAGTGAAGTGTATTAAAATGGATGACGGGTCACCAACCTTACAAAAAAAGGAAGTCAACCCGACTCCCCTCTTGTAGGTGATGACATATTGCTCTGGCGATGTGACCTGGAGCATGAGTCCAGTGCTGTAGTGAGGCTGGTGCAGCCATAGTACTTTATGTCCTGCCCCGTCTGCAAAACAAACACACACCTGCACCAAATATAAAACATTAAGATCCCTCAGGTCATTACAATCTACAGCAGAGCAGATTCTTCTTGCATCCTGTGTGCACCGTGCAGCAAGAGCTGCTTTTGCGACAGATCAGCGATGGTATATCCCTTTAATGTAATCAAATATATAATTAAATTAACTCTTTTGGAAACTTTGATATACATCAGCATGATAAAATTTCACTTTTAGGACAGAAAGCATGTTTGGAAAAAAAATGTGAAGATATTTGTGATCAAATATCTATTTGACTTTTCATAAAGTAACAACCCAAACATTAAAATAAAAATTAGAAAAAGTAATCACATGCAAAGATACAAAAATTCTTGCACAAAGTCGATGCAGAGAGAAAAAAGGTCGAGAACTTAATCAGAGAATAATTCACAGTCTAAAAAATCGATTTATTGCCTTAGTCTGACTGAAAATTGATTTCTCAAAAAGCATGTAAACACATTAGTCTCACTGAAATTGCATTAAATTGAACTTCCTAATAGTCTAATGAACATACAGGGATAACAACGTTGGGGATGGGTTTTCTCTGTATGTATACAATCAGACAGAAACTGGCCTAAACCTTCTGCACCTTTTGTGACAGTTAAGTAAAGAGTCTCTATGAGAAACCTTGGCTGAATTGCATAGACTGTAAAGCGAATATTCTTTATGCCGAACGCACCTGCAATCAGCATTTATTCATGTAATGTTGTTGGACAAATCTGTTTGCACACTTGTTAAGTTAAAAACATAACACATCGGACTTAACCAAACATCATGGAGCCATTGTTTGAGTAACTTTAGAGGCTAATGTTGTTATTTAGCAGCTTATGACGTCATCAGCAGTCAGAGTAACATAAGCATCGCCATCTACTACACCTACCCTCCTGCACCAGTTTAAGGCATTAAAAAATATTACAATCATTACATGATTGATGATGCCACTGATGGTCTTTTTGCTTTGGATGTCGTAAAAGGCTTCAGTATGAATTTCAGTTACCATAGATGTTAAAAAAACTCGTCGCAGGTGCTGTAAGTTTAGACCACTTTTTTAATCAGAACTTAAATTGCAGTTTAAGTGACTCACTTTGGAGCATTATTGGTATTTCCTTAATATAGTTTGATCCCTGATCCATCTTGTAGCCCTTTAATGCCTCACACAACAAATGATGGCCAGAAAATTCAAAATTTTTTGGAGCTGAAATGTTTATTTCACTTACTACTGAAAACCCAAAAAAATCAAACTGTCCTTAAAATTTAACAAATATATTTATTTATTTATCTCATTTGATACATTAGGTGTTTTTGGAAACTGATAAACTAAAAGAGGACGTTTTTATTATTTATCGGACTGTATTCGGGTGTGTTTTTTTTTTTTTAGTAATTTGTTGATCATATTGATTGTGACTGTTGTGTATCTGTCATAATAGTCGATTATAATATCGGTACCATGTCTTGACAAGACAAACAGCCAATCAAAATTCAGCATTTTTGAATGGCATCTTGGGTGGCCAACAGATTTCAAGAAAGGTCCATGCCACCCCTGCTCAGCTCTCTGGATGCGCCCCTGCCACTAGTGAGAAACTCAACAAACTACCTGCTGTTCCCATTTCAAATAGTTATCAGCTACACTGTTTCCTGCCTGAGCTGCACCTGATTTCATTTGGCACGTCTACTTTCTGCTTGTTGCGTTGATGATCTTCAATTATCGTTTGTATCCAGCATGCTCTGTGTCTGCCTCCTTTTCACTTGCTCAAAAAAAAAAGGAAAAGCAGTTGTTATTGTTTATTAAACACACAGGCGCTGTAAATTTAGTTCTGACAGTGGCTGCTGTTTACACTGTATCGCCATGGTAACAACAACGCCTGCCTTTTTTTCCAAGCTGCGCCAAATACTCATGTGTTTGTGTTTTTATGTGTGTGTGCTTGTTTGTGTTTGTTTGTCTTGCCATGAGCCTTTCACTTTGTCTAGGCTTTGCACACAGATGGTCCAAGTTACACAAGATTGATGTGTGACCTAGATGCATTCTGTTAAACCTGTGAAACACAGAGAACGAGGGAGCACGTAAGTGCAAAGTAAGGATGGAGAAAGGGCATGTGGAAGGCTTAGAGTGTAGGAGGGGCTTAAGCTGAGGATAATGAAACACGGGATCAGGTCAGCGGGAGGAAAAAGGTGGCAGAAAAATAAAAGAGCGACAGATATGAGACTGGGGAGACAGAGCCTGAATCGAGAACAAAACAACAGCAAGCTTAAGTGCAAAGACTGAATAGATGGAGTGTGTATTGCATCCTCCATTTGAAAGTGAATGTAAGCTATTTTGTATTTCTGTGTGTCTCCAAGGCAACCTCATCCTCCAGCATGTCAATCATCATGGAGGTTGATTTGTGTGCATACAAATATAGGCCACATTCATGCACACCTTTCTGCCTGGCATACCGCATTTTTTTTCCTGGTTTAATTGTGAAAGTGACAGCATGGGATAAATTGAAATTACTTAAAAAAAACAAGGCTGAAAAAAAAATGGAGGATATGACAGATGATGGATCTGACATCCATGATTCAGACATGTTTGCACAGTCTGAGGTTTGCCAAGATGATATGATTTATTGAAGAGACACATGATCCAAGCAAACAAGTCCACACCTCTCCCACACAACAGTCTTTCTCTGCATCTCATCTCCTCTTCCCTCTGTTGCCTCTATTTACTCTCACACACATGCACACATGCTCAGAACAAGCTCTTGCTCCTCTGTTGCAAAGGAAATTAAACAATTAATCAGCCTGATCATTATCTCTCCGTTCTTAAATTGATAGTTTCATTTGTTATTACCTCATAAACCATGCAGCCTCTGATGACTTTTAAATGTATTGTAAAACATATCTTAATATTCTTGTTGTTTTTGTGTTATCTATGTGCTTCTTAAGTGGTGTAACAGGCAACAAAACGAAAGATAATCAATATTTCTCCACCAACTCCACAACACATTATTTTAATTCATGCTGCGTGACTAATAGTTGAGTAAATTTTTGGCCAAGTCTGATTGAAACCATCGATCAAAACTTTTTCATCAGTAGAAATGGTCTTGTAATTGATGTAATAAATGTTTGTGCTTTTATAATAAAATCACTCTGAGTAAAATGTCATTGAATGTGTAATTGCTCGCTACAAATCTAAATGCTATCAATGGTGACCTCTGAGTGTTAATTTCATAGTGTTATGATTATATACTGACAGTTTATTGATGGTGAGCTATCAAAATACAGTACAGGGCAAAAGTTCTGAAGCAAAAAAGATTATAGATACCCTTTACTTCAAACAAATCTCCTACTCTATCACCTTCAAAACGTCCCCATACCATGACACTACCAACTCCTTGCTTTATTGTGGGTGTTACACATGGTGCTTCAAGATGTTCACCAGTTTACCAGCGAAATGCCTTTTTACTTTTGCACTGGAATTGTGACTCTTCTGGACCCTAAAACTAAGCCTGTCTTTTCTTTTGTTGACATTCATTCAGCAATGGTCTGGTAACATCAAAGGTAAACTAAGGAAAGTGGTGCATATCAATGAAAATTAAGTCTGATCATGCTGTAAATACATCCCAAAATACATATAACTCATGCTGGTTTCTAAGAAAGGCATTGTGAAAAGAAACTTAAAGTTGCTTCTCACTGTTTGGCCTGTATCAGCATTGCCTCCACATTTTTGACCATGTCTAAAACCTAAATGTGCTCTCTTGGACAGCCCTTGAAGGCACTAGGAGGGACTGAAAAAACTATGATTTAATATTTTTTGTTAATTTACTAAGGGTGACTCAACATTACCTGTCACAGGCCCGGTGCCAAGATATCTGCTTCAGTGTCCCAATAAATGTGAGAAGCTCCTGGCTGCAGACATGGTGGACCCCCATAAGCGTGTGCACCGTTGGACCACTGCAGGTGCAAACACAGTTGGGAGTTAGATATTACATGGGTCTCAGATATTAAAATGAATTTAACAAACTCACCGGTGAAATTTTGTTGTGACCTTTACACAAGAAAGACCCTTCATGTTAAATATTAGAGCTGCAGACAGCGGTACACTTTCAACTGAGCATGCTCCAACAGAGGTCTAACTGCACTTGTGCAAAGCTACATGATTGAAAAAAAATAATAATAATAACAAAAACAAGCAGACAGACTGGAGTAGTATCTACTTATTCCCTCATTATTTAAATGATTTTCACATGACACAGCAGAGAAAATGGCCTTTTTATCAGATATGAAGGGATATAAAAAAAGAGGAACGCATGGGTCACTTCACAAGTCAGATACAAAGCATGGGCTCTTACAAACTCTGCTTTTGTGTCACCCACATAGATTGCCCTGTGTTGACAGATCAAATACAGTCCTCTTCACTGAATGAAGCTGCAGACATGATATATTATATCCTGTATATTTATGCACACCTCACTTACTGTTCACAGCAGGAGTAAAGGCTTGTCACTTACGGTCTGATCGCCCAGATCTGAGTCTGATGATAGATGTAAACACAGTCACAGTCCTAAGAGAGTACTGTCTGGGTTTTCTTTACTATTTCCTGCTCTATCCACTGTCCTGTCCTTTAAAACCCCAAATACGACCCCTAAGAAATCTGTGCCTCACTCCATTTTCTAAGACAGAAGTTAAGTCTAACAAAGGAGACGATTATGAATTACCATTAGAAAAAGAGAAACTGATTAAAAGTCATGAATAATTGGACCCTAGAGTAAAGCACCTGTGAGAAATGACAAAAAGTTATGATTTACCACCCTCAAAGTGTGGCCCAAAGAGGTGATAAATGGCTCCAGTATTTTGGGCCGGTGATGGCATCTGATAGCTCTTGATGTGATGACAGACTGTTTACACCCTCAGGCATGCTGCAGGCGAAGGAACAAGACATCCTGTTTGAGGAGCACCTGAGCCTGCTGGCAATGGCTCAAAGTGCTCTCATCGCATCCACACTGGGGTTAACTGAGTGCTGCAATCTAGTTAACAGAGTTATAAGACTGGGAAACTGCTGCTATTTCACCTCAGGGTTGAAAACTTTCAAATGTGTCAGTAAATGCGCTTGAAAGGCTTACGCATTATGGAGCCCCAATTAGCTGATTTAGTGTTTGGAAAATGAAATTTCAACAGCAAGATCTTGGAATAACTTCCATGCTGCTTGGCATATTTCTCTAAGTACATCAAATCTACCTGCAGAACATTATAGATATTGTTTTCTGTTTAGATCGTGGTGTTTGAAAGGATATTCCGGCGTAAAATTAATTAAGGGTCAAACACAGCACAACACAAAACCAATTAGACAACCCCTCGAGAGATGAATGTTGCTGACCACTTGCTTCTCTAGTTTTACCAGCTTTAGTAACGAACACACTATAGCAATACACAACGGTCTAAGGAGCCATAAACAAACCTTAACGAAAACATCACTCTATAATCACAAATAATGTTCAGAAATAGCACCTAACCTCATCAACAATACATGTAGGGTCCTAGCCATAGCACTAGCCACCAAACATCTTTTTAACTTTGCCTAATTTCTTTAGCAAAGAGACTAAACACAACTCACTTACAGCAGCTGTTTGTCTGTAGCAAACTGCAGCGGGGTGACGCAGCTCAAGAGAGAACATTTGTGATCATTTCTTTATCATTTTCTTGAAGTAATAATCACCATATTGATCATTTTGCACTGCAGATGCGGTAGTTCTTCTCTCTTAGTGTCTCGGTCTGATTGCATTTCCATGAAGAAATTATCATAAATGTTCTTCTTTGAGCTGCGTCACCCCGCAGTAGTCTGTAATGGACTGGCCCGAGGTCTCCTCACAAACAAGTGGCTGCTGGAAGAGAGTAAGTGAGTTGTGTTTAGTCTCTTTGCTAAAGAAATTAGGCAAAGTTAAAAAGATGTTTAGCGGCTAGTACTATGGCTGGGCCCCTATATGTACTGTTGATAAAGTTAGGTTCTGTTCTGAGCATTATTTGTGGTTATAGAGTGGCGTTTTGGTTGAGGTTTGTGTGTAGCTCCTCAGACTGCTGTGTATTGCTATTGTGCGGTCGTTACTAAGGTTGGTAAAACTAGAGAAGCAAGTGGTCTGCAACATTCATCTCTCAAAGGGGTGTCTAACTCTGTGTTACAGCGTGTTTGACCCAAAATAATTTTACGCCGGAGTATCCCTTTAAATTAACATTTAACCCAAAGTGCGAAGGTTTTATTAAGAATTTTCACCGCATGGACATTTACCTGAGACAACCTCTGGATGTACTGAAAACAGGCGAGTATTTTCCAAGTTAAACAGCGTGATCTGGTCGGCATTTCCTTACAGCCCTCCTCCTCCCTCTTGAATTTCAAACAGGCAAAGTTGAGCCAGCTGACTTCGACGTCACTTTCCCTCGACCGTCGCGGCCGGAAGCCCCTTCACCGGGTTGATTTTGTTGTTGAGGACCACCTTTCCCCGTCCTTCAGCTCGAAAATGTACTACAAGTTCAGCGGAATCACCCAGAAACTAACGGGGTCTGCTCCCACGGCCGCCTACAGCCCTCAGGTGAGACTAAGTACCTGTGTAAGTGTGGTAGACTGAGTGTGTTACCGTCAGTGATGACCTTCATGTCTGCTGTCTAACCAACCGTCGTGTTAAGCTGCGGATACATGTTGTTTCAGTTCACATGAGGACGACGAAAAACCTCCACTTTGGTTATTTATACTGTGATATATTCTTAATAAGAAATACAGCGTTCGATGTTTAACGTTTTTTTTCCTTGTTTTTGTAACGTTAATATTTAAAGCAAGTTTTGGGCGCATTACAAGGTCGTTAAACGTTTCTAGCAGTAACTTCCTTATTTACATAAAAGTATTCACCCCCTCTTTTTCTCCCCTGTATTTAAGTTATCAGTAGGCATTGTATTACACTCTTAAAGGGATATTCTGGCGTAAAATTAATTGAGGGTCAAACACATCGCAACACCAAGTTGGACACCCCCTCCAGAGATTAATGTTGCAGACCACTTGCTTCTCTAGTTATACCAACTTTAGTAACGACCGCCAATAGCAATACACAGCGGTCTGAGGAGCCAAACACAAACCTGAACCAAAACGCCACTCTATAGCCACAAATAATGCTCAGAACAGCACCTAACTTTATCAACAGTACATATAGGGTCCCAGCCACAGTACTAGCCACCAAACATCTTTTTAACTTTGGCAAAGTGACTAAACAGAATCTTACCTACTCTCTTCCAGCAGCCGCTTGTTTGTAGCGAGACCTCAGGCCAGTCCATTATAGACTACAGTGGGGTGACGCAGCTCAAGGAAGAACATTTATTTAGTTCTTCTGCCTTAGCGTCTCAGTCTGATCACATTTCCATGAAGAAACAGGATAAGTCGGGGAACTTATGACCTTCCTTGAGCTGTGTCACCCCGCTGTAGTCCATAACGGACTGGCCTGAGGTCTTGGTACAAACAAGGCTGCTGGAAGAGAGTAGGTGAGTTGTGTTTAGTCTCTTTTCTAAAGAAATTAAGCAAAGTTAAAAAGATGTTTGGTGGCTAGTACAGTGGCTAGGACCCTATATGTAGTGTTGATGAAGTTAGGTGCTGTTCTGAGCATTATTTGTGGCTATAGAGTGGCGTTTTGGTTGAGGTTTGTTTTTAGCTCCTCAGACCGCTGTGTATTGCCAACGTGTGGTTGGTATAACTGGAGAAGCAAACGGTCGGCAAAGGGGCGTCTCACTCAGTGTTACAGTGTGTTTGACCTGAAATTAATTGTACACCGGAATATCCCTTTAAGATGTTGGGGCACATATGGTCAATAGAAATGCAAAAGAAGGTCACGTCTGGCTAGCATTTATGCTCACATATGTCAGTGCTCCAGTTTGGCCCCCTGTCACATGAACCTGCCTCTGTACCTGCTTATCACAGAACCTTTGGGTAACCTTTATTCTGAAAGGTTATTTCCTTTTGTTTATCCAGCCTTCCTGTGCCTCTACAGCCAATTTTGAAACACAATAGCCTTTTCTATCATGTGCCAGATGTGACCTTTTATTATCAGCCTCCTGTCTTTTACACCACAGCCTCCTTGTTAGTCTATTATGGGGGTAAACCTGCCTGTGACGCTGTCTTGTCTGTCAGCGTGGAAGTCACATATCCTACTCGTCAGTCATACGCAGGCAAGGATGCAAACACCTGATTATATATATAGTGCTGGTGGCATATAAGGTGACGGGTATGACATTTATCCTCTGTGAGCTGATAGTCAAAAAGCCTCAGGTTAAAAATATTTATTTAAACTTTAATTTTGTTTTTTTATTAAATTGTTACTGATCAGCCATGGTGAGTTTATTGACTATTTACCATAAATTAGAAGGTTTACACCGTATCTGACACCTACCCCATGGCAGTGATTGAAGCATTTAAAACTACTTAAAATAAATAATAATTTTGTTGATAGGGTTGTTCACTTTACAAGGTTACAGAGGAGGATCAATCAATGGAGTTTTCACTGTGTTTCAGATCAAGCTATTAACTCCCCACAGGAGCTTTAACTAAAAAATAATATAGCCTTTTATTTTCATCCTGCTCTTATAGTGTTTGCTTCAAAAGAGGAATCCTGCAGTGGGAAAGACAATCTCTCAATCTTAACTGTTGAGCTTTAACAGATAATCTGACTTCCAGTAATTGTTGCCACAGCCTCCTCTTACATTAACATATAGATGTAGATATTATCTCTTAAAACTGGTTATGTGATCCTTAATTAATGACACTCTGCCTGAGGTTTTCCCTGTCAGCAATCACTTGTTTCATCTAAAAAGAGACTTTGAAACTGTGAAAAGGTTGAAAAGGTAATCTAGAGTTTTGAGTTTGCCTGTCTTAAGGATGAGGGAATCCCTGCTAGACAAGAAAAAGGGAAGAAAAACAAAAGGGGAATCCTCTTTGTACCTCTTTGTGCTGTAATAACACTGTGTGAACACTTTCAACAAACGCCTTCTCTTAAATGGAAGCAAAAATAATCTGCTGTCAGTGCCTCTGCGTTTTCATATGTCAGATTTAATGTCCCCGCTCCCACACGATCTTCCTCCACACGCTCTAAAAAGGTAACGGCTCTCCCAGCAATTTTCAAACCCAAGGTGGGTGAGAAGCTGCTTTTTTTTTTTTTTTCCCATGTGGGAGAAAATCAGATAGGACACTTCATTAGCACCACAGTGAACCTTTGGGTTTATTTACTTACAGTGTACAATGTGTGAAAAGCACAGAAACAGCATGAGTTATCATAATGGAATAATTCTCCAAATAGAGTATAGATTATCAGATACGAAAGGGAAATAAATAAACGCTTACAGCAAAAAGACAAGCACGCTCTCTGTTAGATGAGTAAAAATGAATGTTTTTGAACATCAACGACCAAAGAGGAATGAGCCGCGATGTTATGAGAGTGATCTCCATTGTAGTGAACAGGTGCTTAAGGTGCTTTGTATTACTCTTAACAGGCTCTTAAGCAGTCATACAAGTGTCTGAACAACTCCTGAGATCATATGAATGAATGAATGAAGTGCTTTAGTCATCCTCCTTGTTAATGCTGCAACCTTGAGCCCTGCAGTCAACCAATATCCTGCTTTTCTTACGATAACGAATCGATTGCGGCTGCTGATCATCACTGATATTGGAAACCTTGTTCCACCTTTTCCTACAACAGCATCTCCTCCCTGCTGAGGTTTCTCTGGTGTTATAAACTTATTATGATATCAGTAAAAATCACACAATAACAGTACCTGTTTTGACACTACAGGAAAAAAAATTATGAGCTCCTACAAGTAACCAAAACTAATGAATTTAGACACTTTTAATTTTAAACAAGCACATTATAGTAATAGTCTAATGACAAATATTATACTTTCCATAACGACAACAAATTGCTTTTTGTTCAGATTTCTGGTTAACCTCTATATCAATATCATCAATACTTTTGCCTGTTTCTAATTATGGATTTAAATGTTTCTCAAATTTTTTGGGATGCCGCAAAGATAAGATAAGATGAGATACTCTTTTGTTAGTCCCACAAGGGGAAATTCCCATTTCCAACACGTAAACAATCAGCCGGTCAGCCATGTTGAATATACCGGTGAATCAGATGTCGCAACAACACGCAATCTGATTGGTCAGAAGTGGACACACAGTATGCGAAACTTTAAAAAATCGACCGTGATCCGAAAAAATAAATGCCGCAATATCGCAAGACAGGACGCTGATGTGAACGCTTGTATTGACAGGATACGGGTTCGAAAAAAAATGTTGACGTCTGAAATAATGACATGACAAAAATGGTCCCGGTGTGAAAGGACTGTAAGAGTCTAATACCAGTAAAATGCAATGCACAACAAATATTATACCCTCCATAATGACAACAAATCACTTTTTGTCCAGATTTCTGGTTAACCTCTATATCAATATCATCAATACTTTTACCAGTTTTCAAATCGTGGACTTAAATGTTTCTCAATTTTTCCGGGATGCCACAAAAAATACAGTATATTCAAATATATATACCGACTTTGAATGTTTTTGTTAAAGTGGTTGTTTGCTTGTTTTTGTTCAGGGGCTCAGGCCAGGTGTGCCAGCAGAGGCCCCAGCCATGATCTTCGCCACACCCACAAAGGTGGTGTCAGAAGCCGGGGCTGCAGTGGAGTACATGGGAGCAAACAAAGTTCCTGACCTCCAGAGAATATTCCAGGTAGCAAAGACCTCTTAATTATAACAGCAATTAAGCTTTTTTTTTTTTTTGTTCAGATAAATCCTCAGAAAATAACCTTTACAAGTCAATCAAACACAGCAGAGAAAAAAATTATAATTGGAAAAATAATTGGATTTTTTTAATTAGAGTTTTTCAGATTTGATTTATTATGGAAATGTTTTGGGGAACGAATCGTGTTACAATTGTTTTACTTTTTAAGTGAAAAAATTAAAATTCAAAAAGGCAAAATTAACATACTAGCAGCTTGATTTGAAAAATGATGTTCCCATGCATGTTTTTCTGAAATTGGAGCTCGGTATTCCAAACCAAATCTTTAGTATCCTCTGTTCTTTAGTACATTATTACTATTATTACATTTACTCATGTTTCCCTCCTTTCCTCTTTTCAGACATCAGATGGTATCCCCATCCACCTGAAACGTGGAGTACCCGACAGATTACTGTACCGCACCACCATGGCTCTCACCGTAGGAGGAGCTCTATACTGTTTGGTAGCTCTTTACATCGCAGCCCAGCCCACTAATAAGTGACCAACACGAAGCAGTAATCCCTCTGCATTACATCAGCCCAACATTCCCGGACTTCATCTGCCCTCGCTGTACCACCTCTTGGGACTCTTAGATGAGAATTAATCACTGTTGGAACACCACACCAATGATTACAAACATCATGTCTGTCTTCTTTGTTAAAAAATGTTTAAATTAATAAATTTTAAGGGGAAACAAAGTGAGAGATTTCCATTTGTCTGTACATTTCTACCCTGTAGTAACTGTCTGCGTCATGCCTATAAGGCCCAGAAGATGCAGAAATAGAAGCGGAGATGCAAAGATGGTTGTTTTTCGTTTTGACAGGCTTGTGGCATGTGTGTGCGAGAGCGAGCAGGCATGATGGAGACACTTCGTCTGGAACATAGCTGCTGCTCACTTGGCTTGAGTACTGTCTCATACAGTATTTATATGTGTGGGCCTCGGTGTGATGTCAGATGCCACTCGCTTGGTTTGGAGACTGTGGGAGGGGTTGTGTATGTGTGTTTGTGTGTGGGTGTGTGTGTGTGTGCGTGTCTTGGGGGGGGTTCAGACAGACATGTTGGCAGTCCTACATGGAACACTCATGATAATCTCAGTCTCTGCTTTTTCTTCATGCAATAGAGATGCAATATGATTTAAATTTAGAGTTCTTACTGCTGGTTTCCTTGTGGGTATTTATTGAGTTATATCTCATGGAGTTTTCCTGCTGTATGTCTAGGGTCTACACATGTTAAGTTTCTGTTTTCACTTTCATGAATATACAAAGTAACCAATAAGAAATGTGCTAATTCTCTGAGGAAGGAGTTCATTTTCTTAAAGCTCAAACAAGGTTTTTTTTTGATGTTTTGAAAACTGACTGAAATTCATGTTGGTGCCTTTTTATGACATTTAAAAGCAAGTGAGACCACAAGGGACAACATAAACAAGATGTATACTGTCATTTTAAATACCTGAAAGTGGTGTGAAAGGGTAGGTGTCAGCCAAGCAGCTAAAGGATCGTACATTTGACTATCAAACTTTATTTTTTTTCCAAATGAAACAAAGGGGCAAACTCTGCAAAGACTGCTTTTTCCACAGGGGGCGCCAAATTGACACAAATCAAAAGTTCTCCACAGGAGCTTTAATATTGCACCTTTTAAAATTATAGTAATAAATCTCTAATTTAGGGAAATCTTCATGTTTACTAGTTTATTGAACCAAAAAATTGTGTCTAATTTAAAGGATTTTAAAGAAAGCATCGTCTCCTGTGAAAAATAGATTCTATTTGGTCCTAATTAATCACAAAGGTTGAATCTCAGCAATTTATCACTACCAGTGGCAACTTTTAATTGCGTAATTAAATTCCTCTCCTTTGCATTTCACAACATCTTAAAAATGAATAGTTCAATAATTACTTTATAAAGGAAATTCCTACTGCAATAAAATGTATTTTGTTTTTTTATATATATTTTATTTTCATATTTCATTTTTTTTAGTGTTAACTTTGAGATTTGTAATTTAAAGCTCCTGTGATGAACTTTTTGATTTGTGTCGACTTTGGCGCCCCCATGTGGACAAATTAGTATTTCCTTATCTTGTCGTCTTTGGTAACATTTTAATTCCATTTGACACAAAGTGAAAATGACTTTCGCGAAGAGGGAAACATGAACATGATTTGGGAAAAAATTGTTTATTTTAGAAGTTAAGTTAATTCTTTATGAATTATGTCATGCTGACAGCTCTAATAATCAACCTCTCTGTATTTCTTGAGCAGTCTGATGCAGATTATAAATATTTAGCCCAACAGATGAATTTATATGTTTAGCCTTTATTGGTTAGCCAGTATCGATTTGTCTCTCAGTGCTCCTTATTTTTTTTAACAGGACCTGAATTTGTAGTTTCTCATTTATCACTCATAGACGCCTCCTGCTTATTCAAGTCTTTTTGTTCTGTTGTGTATTTTTTTTCTCTTTTTTCTTTAATCATCTCGTTTAAAGCTCTTCTTACCACAAGATTTGTTTTTTTCCAAGTCCAAGACATGCGTTTAAAGGTGTATGAAATAGTTAAATTAACCATGACGCAGAGCACTATTAAACCTTGCTGATTTAAGCGCCTTAGCTGCACGCTAAGACACATCGATCCTTTTCTCGGTGTTTACGTTGATACATGTTCATCTTCTTTGTGTTTGTATTGATTACTCGGTAAAGAGGCACAAAAGCTCTCGTGATTGTCGGCAGCTGAACACTCAGAGCCAGCCTCTGCCTGATGAAAGTGATTGCTTCACTACTCTCAATCATCACAAAGCTCGTTCACTCTGCGTGGAGCACAGGAGCAGAACAGTCATTTGGACGAGGATGTGTTAGTCATTTTCACACGGATGTACATAACATGGATGTCAACAGCAACCGTTTGAGGCTGCCACTTTAAACTATTTACCAAATCAAACATGAAAGCGTCTCCAGCCTGATAATTTTCAGTGTTTCAAGCCCTACAATTTCATTTTAAATTAGTTTTTACTCGACTGATTTACCCTCGATGGGTGAGTTGGAGCTGTTTTCCAGGAGGCTAAAAACTGCCTCAGGTCCACCTTTTCGCCTTCTGTAGGTTGATGGAGAGTTCTGCTCCAACAGTTGGAGTTCAGTTTTCCAATTTCCTGCCTGTCATCGCTGGGCTTCAAAATTTCTCCCTAGAAACCAGTGGGTAACGCCATGGAGACTACATCCATGTTTTATACCGTTTATGTGTGTGATCAGAACAGATTTTCAACATGAAACTGCTTAAATAGTGTTTTGTTACCCCACAAGATCCATTTATTTTAGATTCCAAGAGACCTCTATGAATTATTTGGCTACAGATAATAACCATGGACCATGAATTTTAAAGTGCCGTTTGGAGACTCCTTTTGTGTAGTTAACTGCCTTCATCATTCGCCTGTATTTGTTTTTAATGATGTGAAACACTGGTGGTATCCTCACAATTAAAGCTGTCATGCTTTTTTTTACAACTTTATAGACAAAGATTTAAGTTTGCCCAAAATAAAGCTTCTAGTGCTCTACATCAGGGTTGAGAATTTCCACGATCAGAATATTATGAGAAGCAAATATTTATTTATTTATTTTGTTTTTGCTTGTTTTCTGCGTGCTAGTTTTCTGTTTTGTGTCGATGTTCTATGTCCTTATTATTTTACTCTGGTTTGTTTGCTTGCTGAGCGACGTCTTATATTTTGTAATTGTATTGCAACATAACGGCAAATAAACACCTTTGTTCAAAAAAAAAAAAAGAATATTGTGAGAAGCAGAATTTTTAGAGTCCAAGATTAAAAGATTTTGAGTAACATTTATACCCCTTGAGCCATGGTGGTGGTGAAGCTCAGCAAAAGTACTGGCTCTTCATCATTAATCTGTTTTTATGGTGTAAAAACCAAACAAAAAAGTTGAAAATTAAAGCCACTGTAGAAGAGTGAGTAAGCGCAGTCTCTGCAAAAGTCAAGGAAGCGCCGTTAACACTCATGTTAGGCTGCTCATTTGACAGCAGACATACATAGTGTCTCTTGTAAATCCTATTGTATATACAATGCAAGACTGAGTTTCATGCATAATCTGCATTATTAAGGTTAGTTAAGTTGAAAAGCTGTTTTCCAGGAGGTTTAAGACTTTCTTAGATTGGATTGAAGATTGTTTAAAAAGTAAGCGGTGACCGACATCACTCGGCTCTGTAACCCTGCTTCAGAAACCATCACACTTATGACATATATGTTTAATACGGTAAAGAAAATTAGACAAAGTTATAGATGAATACAAAAGACATTTGTCATTTCATCTCTAGTTATGCTTGAGTTTTAAAACGCCAGTTAAAGTTCTTGTGAGGAACTTTTTATTTCTGTTGATTATGGCGCCCTCTGTTGATTTTACCCCATATATGTGTAAGTTTGTTTTTCCAACACAGAATTTCACTTTGTATTATTTCAACTCACATTGAGATTAAACACCATGTTTTGAAAATTAAAGGGTTTATGTATGAGCAGTTAGTGAATTTGTCTGAAACCGACTCTCCATGGGTGATCTGTTGTTTCATTGTTGAACTGGGTTTGCTTTTGTAGGTCCGATTGTCAGGGTCTGGGGTTAAACAAAAAGGGAAAGGACCCAAAATGCAGAACAAATAAAGATTTACTTAAAAGTGAACTAAAAGAAAGGCAACAAAAACTTACTTTAAATGTCCAACTGAAAAATTCCCAAAGGCAAAAAAAACACAAGACGCAAAATTTAAGGAACCAAAAAATCCCTGGTCAGGTGAGACACTGAGACACAGGTGCAGACAATTACAGAGGAGGGAAAACTGAGGAAGTAAAACAAGACTAGAAACACGGGGAATAAACTACTACAAAATAAAACAGGAAACACTGAGAACAGGAGGGAAACAGGGTCAGACAAACTGAAAACTCATAAGACAGGACTACAGGGGAACAGGAACAATAGGAAACAGAAACACTAGGGAAAATACACTTGGATAACCAAAACCCGGTACAAACTAAATAAACAGAACACATAATGACACTTATAGTAGCTTTAAATATCAGATATGATTCACAAAAATACGTTGGCCAGGCAATTCAAGAACCCAGGGGTTAATGGTTACTTCAGTTGTACGCATTGTAATCCATATCTGCCTTCTTTATCCAAAGGCGCCCCAGACCTCATTAATCTCTCCTGAGTTTATTAAAATTTTAAGATGTAAAAGTCAAGGTTTTTTTCTTATTTAATGGATTACCATGCGGCACTTTCATTCATTAAAATACTCCACCTTCATTTGTTAAACGCGTCAACCCTAGACCTCGCCTCGATGCAGCATCAATACCTCTCAACCTGAGGAAAAACTTATGATGGATAATTGATAAAGGGGGAGAGGTGATGATTATTGTTAATAAATAAAGATGCAAAGTGTTTTTCGCCATAATATGCCTGTGTACAGACACAGAGCTTAAATACAGACATGTCCCAGCTGTAAGACAACTGTTGCTTGTATAAAATCCAAGGTTTCAGTATCCATCTGTTGAAAAAGTGCTCTGTAGGATTGGGTTTGACCCTGTACTGAGTTCCTAACGACTCTGCAGAAGAATACACTTGGAACAAACCCACTTATAAAGCTAAAAAGTAAAGCTGTAAGCCTTCATTGATTCACAATGAAAACACGTCCCGCTCTTTGTGAAAAAAAAAACACAATTTAAACGACGGTTGAAAAAAAAAAACAGAGACCGAGCTGCATATAGTTTCACAGGGATCGACCTTGACCCATTTAGAGCTTTTCTACGACATCCACGAGCGGCAAACTAAGCCGTGTTTTCCTCGAACATGTTGTGGGTAAATGTCACGGACTGTTACCGTGGAGACATGGCTCAGGGACAAGAGTGGCAACTTGTACAGCTAATTACCCATTCTTTTTATTTTTTTCCCCCACAACCTTCAGGTGAGTATCATTCAAAAACCGAACATTTACAGTACATTTTTATAGATTAAAAAAAGGATTTCAGTTCAGTTTTTGCTCATCTTGGTTTTTATAATATTAGTTGAGGGGCAGCAAGTTTGTATTGAAGAGTTTCTCATCATAAACAATCTGTTTTTTCATCTCTCTATAACCGGTTTGCAGCTTAAAGGCAGTACATATAGGATTAAAACAAATACAGAGATTTATAGACAGAAATGAAATATGCACAATAGCGATTGTCATTATTATTATATAGTTACATTTTAGATACACCCACCACTTATTATGCATAACCTGTCACCCCAACTTCAGTACTTTGGTCTTGGTGCTGGAGGGAGGAGCTCAGCACTGGAGATTATGAAGTTCTGGAAATGTGTGCAAATCTGTGCATATTTAATTAGATATTGCCTCATTTACATATTCATATGGAACATTTTACAAAACTTGTAATACAAAAAATATTTGTCTTAATGTCAGTTATAAACGTGGGAAGTTTCATGGTGATATCTCTCTGTCAAAAAATTTACCCTATTCACCTGGGGTGTCTCCGCTGGGCTTCCAACCCATTATGGACGCCATCATGAAAATGACACATTTCTAGCGGTCAAATTTTGGTAAACTTTCAGTTTGTTGTTAAGGACATCTGATACTATTTTTAAAAAAACAGCTGAGAAACCTTTTGTTCGAATTTTTTTGGGGTTAAATCATATTTGCACCTGACTAAAAAGCAACTGAATTGAAAGCCTCTTAGGGCGCCTTCACACCACCCTCGTTTAGTCTGGTTGAACCGAACCCTGGAGCGTTTACCCCGTTGGTGCGGTTCATTTGGGTCGGTGTGAACGCTGACCTTGAACTCTGGTGCGGACCAAATAAACCAACTCTGGTCCGCCTCAAGAGGTGGTCTCGGACCGTTATCAAGTGAACTCTGGAGCAGTTCATTTCTGGTGTGAACGTCATCCACACCAATCACAGGAAACGCACCGCACACGTCATTAATGCCTGTCGCCGTCTCGTCTTTATCCTTCTGTTGTTTGCAGCACGTCTTCTCCGGAATGTATTAATTAATGCAGCAGTTGGCGCTCGCTGGCTAACGAGCCGTTCATACGCGCGATCAACTAGCGTCTTTTGATACGCGCTCCAGATGAGTAGCAAAAGCAAAATCAGACTACCCATCAGAGCGGGGTTTGTATTCCCGCAAAAACTAATGACCAATAACCGAACGATATTCGCGGTCACGTGACTTGCGGTTCTGTTTTCCGGAGCGATTGAGTTTGTCCTTTGTGAACGCAAACCGAACCAGTTAAACAATCAAAACAAATGTATCGTCTTGCCTTGGATTCGAATCAGGAAATGGACCTTTAGGTGTGAACACGACCTTAGTCCTGCAGTCTCACTGGGATCCACCTCAAAAATTTTAAAGACGTTGTTTGGATGTAGTTGAGGCAGATTCCAGACTGGAATACAATGAAGGGTAGGAGATTCACAGGCATGTTGGATGTCATGAAGATTCCCATTGTGCTTTACGCTGCTGTGCAGAGAGCTCATTAGAGAGGTTGGACAATCTGAACAGTAATGAGTTTTACGGATCGAATGACAGTGAGACCCATTTTCTGGTGTTTATGAACACCAGCACAAAATTTCACCAAAGATCATGGAAATACTTGTCGTCGCTACATATCCTCCAAACCTCTAGATTTATTTTCAAGGAGGCCTAAACTCAAAACAAGAAAACACCTCATAAATCAGAGGTTTTCTTGAGTTACTTTTGATCATTTTCTTTTAATGTAAGGTGGAAAATATTCTGAGAAGCTTTATTTTTTAGTTTAAACTAGTTTCTTGATAGTTCTGTTATAATCAGATTGATTTACCTTACATCATGCATTGGCAACAAAGTGTCTACCTGCTCTAATCCAGGAATACATCACCATCTCCTTTCCTCCATCCATCTGTCTCCCCCATCCTTCCTGCGTCACGACAGCCCACTTGAGCGTCCCTCGGTAACAATTGAACCCTTTGTTTTTGCACTCATACTTGACAGAGGAGACACGAGAGATCTGCAAAAAAAACGTGTTTACCTCTCGATAGCACAGTCCTCAAACTGTTAATGAAGCGAGCACCATGGGGAGCGTGTGTGCCAGAAACTGGCAAAAGGAGGGATAGACACAGGAAACAAGTAAGGTGTAAACAGTGAGTGAATAAGGGTGAGGAAAAGGCTGTTAGATGGGGGGTGTACTGGGGCTAAGCTGGAGGAAAACTGGAAATTGTATTGCTTCTTACAGCACCCCCACTTCCCCACAGCCAAACAAGATCGGTACAAGAGAAAGACGACGAAACTACAATCTGCAACTGGTAGTAGAATTATCAGGAGAAGAAAAGCCGCATTAATGCAAGAGGGAGAATCAGAAAATCGTTTCACCGACTTTCTGAGTTGTGAGGCTTCAAACTGAGAAACATATTTCCAAAAAAAGGAGGCAGAGCGAAAGTTAAGATGGTCAGAAATTTTAAATTTATTCACAAAGTGTCAGATTTTGGTTCAGTTGTTGTTTTTAAGGACAGAGTGACTGATATTGATTCTAAAAGGAGATTCAACACAGTTATTCATAACTTCTCTGCTGTTTCATATTGAGCCTGGTTTACCACTGAGCATTTTTTGGTCTAATAGACGTCCAAATGTAGCCTAGACCAGTGGTTCTCAACTGGTCTCACTCTGGGACCCACATTTTCTCATGGTCCTTAGGTCGCGACCCATTTTTATAGAATTTAAACCAACCAAATTTATTTTTTAGGTATATAAAATAA